GGCATACGTGTTATTTAGCAGGGATTTGGGGATAGCTTTGACATGCACACACATAAACATAGCAATCAGAACACAAAATGACACACTTGAGCCTACAGTTGCAGATGTATGCACGGTCAGTTGGACCTGGATTAAATGAGGGCATGCAGTTTAACTGAAGCTGTAATTAGCCAAATGCGTTTGAGTCTGTGCTTTCTGCTGCATGTGTGCCAGTGTGGGAGGTGGAGGCCGACATATGAAAGCAAACATCTTTAAATTACAGCACCCACTGATTAGCTCTGCGCTAGTCGGGCATTACTGGGAATTAGTCCACACTGTGATTCTGTGACTCGGCAGGAGTGAAAACAGCAAATTATACAGATCTGCCCAACCATTAGGAATCACAATGAAACAAAGGCTATTTCTCTTCATTAATTACACTTAATTTGCACAGTTCCCAAAACAAACTGTAGGGCTTCAAAATAAAGCCTCTGCCTATATCACTTAATGTTATTTTGTTTTTTAAATCAAATTACATGTGTTAATACAGTATAAATATGTGTGTACAGGCTGCTGAACACAACAACTGAAACTATATGATGAGGATTCCTTTTTTTACTGAAAATATATATATATATATATATATATATATATATATATATATATATATTCTTATATACCCTATAAATAAATATATATCTATATAGGGTATTTAAGAATGCTACTTTTCCACAGGATATTAATCTTTTTTTGAAAGACAACAATAAAATAATTGATTGTGATAGTTATTGAATATCAAACAACAAAGCAGTAAAAAGGAGCGGACAACAAAAGGTTATTTTTACTGCTTTGTTTCTTATTTGCTGCAGTGGTTAAACTATACAGTGGTTACTACTATACATATGCGTGGCTTTATATTTGCACTTTCACCACATTTTCATCCTGTTCACTAGATCCAGCCATTTCTAAAACATACAGAAATGCTAATGCGGCCATTAGACCTACGGCCACTTTCATCTATTAAGCATGAGCATATAGCTGCATAATATATAAGAGGATTAACTAGATGTAAAAATCCTGCCTCTAGCTCATGTAGAGAGAGAAGACAGAGAAAAACACACTTTCACTAAAGATGACAGTCTGAATGAATAGCATTCTTCCAGTCAAACATGTTTCACCCAGACAAAGTAATGATACTATTAAGATTGATAGAAAATGACTTGATGAAAAGAGCAACAAGAGTTTTGAGACAAACATATCAGTATCTATATATATATATATATATATATATATATATATTCAAATAAATGCAAGGTAACACTGACCTGTGCTTCATCTTGAATCACACGGTACTGTTCTTTCCACACAGTGATTTTAGAAACCTCATCTTTCCTGAGAGCTCGCTCCTTTTTTAATTCTGGGCTCCAGAAGGTCTTTATAGAATTCATGGAGGAGCTAAGCTTGCTCTCCTTAACTTCCACTTCTCGCCGCAGCATCTCATTCTCACGCAGAATCTGAAAAAGCAGGATAATGGAGAAGCAGATTGTAAATGTGGTCTGTCAAACAGAGCAAATCAATCTTATCAAATGTACAAATCATTGATTGAAAAAATCTGCAAACGCACTTCCTTCAGTTGGGCCTGCAGGTCCAGTATGGTGTTATCTCTAGCCTGCCTTAGAGAGTGGGGCACGGTAGAGGCCATGTGGTGGTCCCCAAAAGCTAGAGCATCCCCTGCCATCATGCCTGATGGCAGCAGAACACCGCCAGGCACTGAGGTGGAGATGTTGGGGGTGCTAGCGGCCACAACTCCACTGTTGCTGCTCCTTGACCCATATGTCACCCTCTGTCTCCCCATGGTCGTCATTGTCCCACCACTTTTTGGAATGTGATCACTTGCCAAGGCAACCTCATTGTCACTCAGGTACATTGGTCCTGAGGTTGCATACGCAGCGTTGAGGGACTGGATGTTCTCCATGGAAAGCGTCTTCCCTCCTGCCCCTCCAGGACCCCCTCCACTGCCCCCGGTGCTGTTGGTGCGACGGTGTCCCATCCGAGGGGAACGGGGAAGGCGAGGGGAACGGCCAGATCCCTGATTACCAGTACCACCTCCATCTCTTCCTCCACTATGGTTGGTGTCCCCTCTGCCAACAGAGCGGGCACTACCGTACATCTTCTGCTAAATAGAAGAATGGAGCTCACAGAGAAATGGAAATTTGACCTCCAGTGACTGTATTTATTCTTGCCAATTGTGTGATTGGGGGCTTTAACCAGTTGTCTGAATCGAAGTGGTGATTCTGCTTCAGCTGGAGGCGGTGGGCACAATATTCATCCTAAACTAGAGGTCTGAAGCTCTTTACTCTTTCCTCATCCACCAGGAGCTGTCCAGTGTTTCAAATTATGACACCGATCTGTGAAGAAAACACAGTTGTTCCCTATGAATTACATGGCAATAGCATACATAAAGCATTTGTTTTCAATTAATAAGACAAAAATGTTTGTTAAATTGACAAAGTTATCAAAGTCCCAACAAAACCAGCCAGCGTCAAATTATTGGCCCCTTAATCAAACAAGCCTGGGTTTGATTTGCAGGTATTATTAAAGGGGTCTCTACAATCTCCAGCAAAATGTGGAATAGAACAAATTCAGCAAATTGAGAGTAAGTACAGATGGCCACTGTGTGCTTAGGTTTCACTAGATCCCCTCCTGGAGTACAGACAGTTATGTAACTGTTTACAGTCATGTCTAAGAACAAGTTATTTCAGGTGTATTTGCTAATCGACCTATTCTATACAGTACATGACATGATGTGGGACGGTTTGGGAGCCTCTGATTTTAGGTGTATCCTTAACAAAGTGTACGTTTAATGACGTTATAGCTATTGGTAAGTCATAACCATAACCCTTTTGTCAGCCTTGTTGGACTATTCAATCAAAATGCTAGAAGATAACACAACAACACATAAAGCAGGATTGTGTACGGAAATGTCTCCGACTACTCTGCCGTTTGCTCGGTTTCATATTTTAAAATTAATTTTTGCTACAGACATTTAACTGGGCAGTCTGCGTGGCCTTGCTAGCAGCTAGCGACACGTTAACATACCGGCTAACAGGAGAGGCTGACATCGGTACCGTTAACTCCTATGTATCCCTTTAATTTTGTTCCTTTGTTTAGTAAGAGCAAATAGGTGCGTATATGTTGTCGGAAGAGTAAATCTTGAAGCTACGAATCATGTTTCCAATGTGCTGACGCTGTGGATTAATACAAGCTAGGGAGGGAAAAGGGGATTGTCCATGGTGGACATAGTAAGGGGAAAATCTTCCTGCTCATAAAACTAAATGCAAACGTAAAAAAATGGTCTGCCAAATAGAAAGCTAGAAACCTGACGTGATAAGTTCATTAGATACGGTGTCAAATTGTGAACATTAATCATGAATTAAGGAAATGTGGCACAATCCTAACGACACGGTACAGGGTCTGCTTTGGAGACACCCACATCAAACCATATCCATTTTGCTCCACATCTACTCAGCGGCTTCGTGTTTCTCCATTCAGAACTGCGAATAACTTATCTCGCTCCTTGATATTTAATCAGCTAGGAAACATATAAAATGCATGTACGTTTTACACTAGCTCGTCATGACATATGAAGGCTAGTCCATCTAATCTATGGTCAACCAGAACCTCTGTTTTTTTCTCGCTAACACAATAGCCAGCGGTGAAAACCTCTACAAACAAACTACCTTTCTCGTTGTCCGGTGTGGTGTAGCTCAAGTCAGCGCCAATAGTGAATCCTCTGACAATCGGAAATCGGTTGCAAGCCCCGTCATTATATGTTAATTATTCGATAGATGTCTATTTGATTTTTACATCGTTTTGCCAGCAGTACTCGCGGCTCAGGAGAGCCAGGGCGCCTCAGTGACGTCAAGACTCCTGTGCGCGTCCACGACAGACTTTCTCGCCACGCTTAAATTTTAAACGCGCGGTCACGAGGTTTATGGTGGATGAATATAGACAGCAACAGAACGCAGACGTACCAACATTTTGACAAATAAATGCATTGCCTTAAATTCAACTGGAAAAAAAAGTAAAGATGTGGTCATCGAAACATCTATTTGTCAAATCTGGAGTGCTTTAAACAATCGTTTATTATTTAGGCAACGATTGGAATGCTGTTAAGCACAATTTAGAATATGTCATATTAACAATTAAATAATAAATAGAGAGGGGTATTATACTGTCTACAGCAGTTAGTTTAGGATTTTCTGTGAAAAAATATAAAATAGACATGACATGTATAGTCAACAAACACCGGCAGGGGGCAATGCTCACTTGTAAGAAAATTGTATTTTCGAAATGGTTGCTACAAATGTAAAAATCTTCACTACATAAAATACATTAATGAAAATACATAATATGAATCAAAACATAAAGGCAGATTGGACTAAGAAAAATAGATTAATTGTTTTTATTTATGTATTATCACATAGCATTTAATTACATGTGTTCTGTGTATTAAATGAAGTTCACAAGGGTATTTTGTCTTCAAAAAGGGTCAGGGTTAGAAAAAACAAGAACTAAAAAATAAGTAAGCGTATTTACATTCAATACATTGTGAAATTGTGACACATACGTGACAGCTCTTACTTGTGTAAATAATGCTGTGTAAATGTCACCTGCAAACTGACTACGTTTTTTTTGGGGGGGGGGGTATACTAAATACAGTATTCTATTATAAAATACACATTTTATTCCAATTCATATCTAACATGAAAAAGACCCTAAATATTAAAAACGTACTTGTTATTTCTGTATATGATTTTCATAGCATTTAGAAAAAGGGATAGCAGATATTACTTATAATTGGTTTTAACCTTCATTGCATTTGATTGTAATACATCATAAGGTATTCGGATACAAAATGTATATCATGAAGGATGAAGGTGCTTCAAAGGGATTTCTGCATGTATGTATGTTATGGTTATGAGGTCATTCTCCACTGGCGCAGGCGCTTTCGGAAAAACCCGTTTCTTCTCAATATGTAGCAACTGCGCCGCTTGTTTGTAAGAGAGCCTCACAAATCGTAACTTTGATATTCACTAACTGGGTAATTGATCTACCTGACACTTAAGGACATTTGACTTGTATTCCCCTGTACATATACAAAGACGGATTAACGCTGTGAAGACCATTTCAACGCCGATGACCGTCAGTTGTGTTGTGGATACGATACTGAGGTAGGTCGCTGTCTGCCACCCGGCACCGCTCTGTTAGCTGTATCGTTAAGGGCCAATGCTAACTGCTAGCAAAGCCAGACCCCCAACGAACAGCACATATCACTATGTATTTAAAACGAATTTAACGTGATATACATATGGTGTGCTCCTCTTATACGAATAGTTACAATGACCCAGTCAGGGAGAGTATCATTTTAAAGTGCGTAGTCTCATGACAACAAACGAAGCGTTAGCGTTTGTAGCTTCATATGCTAACATGAAATTGAATGGGGGCAGCCAGGAGGTGCGTCTGGCTTTTTAGGCCATCGGCAAGGCCACTCTAGCTAACGTTAGCTGACTGGCTAGCAATGGCGCTATTTGTCAATGCCTGTTCAATTTCCAACCGGCGTCTTATGTATACGAAATGTTATCTTGTAATGTTAACCACTCAGGAATGGAAACCGGCCCTGGATATGGTAAATAAGTCAATATAGAGTAAACGCTATTCTTAATTGCTAACGGTTATGTTAATGGCAACATCTGATATGTGAAATGACTGTAGTGGCAGGCCAAATTGCTAACAGCGGGGCGTTAAATATTTTTAAAACACTTGACGTGAAAATCATTCATGCTTGGTTAAAGTTTCGCTGGTTAAAGATTAGCTTAATACAGCTAACTAGCTCTATGCTAGCTATGCTTATTAGCAAGCTAACAAAGAGCCGTTGCTCCTCCTTGCTTTGTATGCTCGATGTTGCCATTTCAAGTGGATTGGTGTCACTTATAAGACGGCGAAGAGATGGGTACGTAAGACGAGGTTTACGTAAATTAATTTACCCATTTAATTAAGTGTTAACGTCATTTTTAACAGGTATCAGGATGTTAATGCTGCTAACATTACTAGGGTTGGTTCTGACACCAGGTGCTGGTAATGGCCTCAACCAAGGCAGGTTATAGGTGACTAAGCAATTGGATTGCCAATGCACACCTGCATCTTTAAAGGACCATTATTGACGCATTACAAAATAGTCATGCTACATGCGCAAGCCTTTTGCATTTGCAGTTTAGATGATGGTATGTTTATATATTTGTGCTGATTTAAAGTACTGCTTCACGTTAACGACTTTAACGATGCACTTATAAGTTATTCAGACAATATTCAATGACCCCGTGAGTAGCGGTACTTTCTTTTTTAGTAGGCCTACTGGAGACGGGTTGTCAACTCTTTAATATGTATAACATTGGCATTTAGTGTGTCATTCTAAAGGGCTGTTGGATGCATTTGGGATGCGTGCCACATTAAATACTTATACGTGCTTCTTTAAATTGTATACTCAATACAACACGTAATGGCTTACTAAATAAATTAGTGCATATAACAATTGGGCACAGCTGTAAAATACATTGAAATTGCCCCTGTGAATGCAGGCATGTTCCTATGTCCTTGGGCAAGGCAGCAAATCTTATCCAAGGTGGAAAACCTATAGACAAATATATCTATGAACCAAAAGCAATTCACTAAATTATTCTTTGCACTGAACTTTGTAGTGTCTGTCAGCTGTTCTTTTGATGAAAGCAGTGTTATTAAACTTTATGTTTACAGTAAATTCTTCTTGTGAATACAGTTGCTTATCTTTTACAGGTCATGTTGTCATTTGACATAATGTTGGTTACTTTGTGAAATATTTCAGGCAACATTTTGTTTTCTTTTTTTCTCTTGCAGTGATACTGAACTGGAACGTATTCCGAGGGTCTGGCCTTCCTTCCTTTGGCTACAGTAGGAAGTTTGGGGCCTGTTGTGGGCTGTGCATGTTTGTTCCTCACCAGTGATTCCTTATGCTTGATAGAAGCTGCACCCTTACAGGATGGATGGTGTGGACTTAAAGAGACTTGTGTATCAACATCAGCACTCTGTGTTTTTCTGTGGTGTTCAATCTTTTACCATTTACAAGAGGACACCTCCCATCCTATACCCCCAATCTCTGCACTATATTTATAAAGACCGTCAATAAAAAAAGACAGCTGAAGGTAGAAGTTGTAAGACTTTCTATCTTTTTTCTTTTTAAAGCTCAGACCGATACTGCTTATATAGGCCTATATGGCGGAAATGGAAGTATCCTTATTTTAATTATTCCGTTAGTGTACCCCCTTACTTATAGTGTGGGTGGTGGGATGTCGGGAAAGCTAGACGACAAAATGGTGAAGTTCCTGGTTCCCCCTCAGAAGAGTGGAAATGGCCCCAGTTCTGGTTCAGATTCGATGGTGAGTGAGGGCCGGCCAACAGAAGTGAGACGCCGGCATCACACCATGGAGCGTGATCGTTGTAACCCCGAACACCGTTTTCTGCGCCGAAGTGTCATCAGTGATTCCAATGCTACAGCATTAGCTCTCCCTTTACCTAGCAAGATCCCCATCCCTGCACCTCAACGGGTTCAGCTACGAGAAATCCCCCCACAGCGGCAACTGGCAGCTGTTGCTGCTCATTTACTGCATGCTGAACCAAGTCCAGCTCAAAATGAGGAAACTGCTGTTCGTGGAAGAGAAGGAGTACAAGAAAAAGAAATAACCAAGGTGGATGTAGTGCCTTTGGAGCCTGTCATTGTACAAGATACCTGTGATGGAGAGGTGGTGGTAGCAGCCCGCTCCGCACCATGCTTAGGATCAGAATTGCCCAGACAAATAGAACCTGAAAGCACCAGTGAGGTGAAGGTACCACCTGAAGAAGAAGGGGAGGAAGAAGACAAGGAAACTGCCAAGGCACGAGCAGAGGCAGAGCAGAGAGAAGCTGAGAAGAAAGTGCAGGATGACATTGAAGAGGCAGAGACCAAAGCAGTGGGAACATCACCAGATGGACGCTTCTTAAAGTTTGATATAGAAATTGGACGGGGCTCCTTCAAGACTGTCTACAAGGGCTTGGACACTGAGACCACGGTGGAGGTTGCTTGGTGTGAGCTGCAGGTAAGACAATTGTATAACTTTAGTTAGTAATATAGTAGTAATAACAATAATAATAATAATCATTTATTTTATTAATAATTTTTACTTCATACCCTTATGGCTACTGCTTTCAGTTGCTCTCATTTGTGAATGTTTTTTGATTTGGTCACTTTTAGTATTGCATTTCTACTGCAATTATTATCGTCTCCTTTTTATTTAGGCTGTTTACATTCATCAAGCTTAAGCATAAGTGGCGTAGAGCCAAAACAATTTCCTTTCACACTGTTACCTGAGCTACAGCTTCTGTCATTTCCGCTGTGAGACACATGGCTAGCATTTCCTTTTTGATTGTTTCGCATGGCTTTTGTCATCAAAGGATAACTAAACTACTTCTCACTTTCCCAAATGTGCTTTTTGGTGCAGCGCCGTCCATATTTAATGACATGATTGTACTTATTATGATATAACTTCTTATGTTAAAAAGTTACAAAACTTATCAGGGCTTGTAACATTTATGTTTTTAACAATATGACCAAGTGATACATAACACTTTTATCACAGGAAATTGCCCTGGACTATATTCAAGGTTAGACTTTGTCTCATGGCACTAGAAGTGTTTAGAGTTTATTAAGTCATCATAACAATTTCCCATTAACAGATTTTAAAATTTAAAATGTTTGTGTTAATTTTTTAACACAAAAATTATGATTGAATTAAAGTCTTCCAGAGCTGCAAAATAACCATAACAGAAGGGTAAAAGTTAACTAAGCATATTATTGTCAGCATAAGGTGAGATTTAAATATCAGTATTACACCTTTTGAAGAAGTAAAATATCTGATCATCAGACATCAAAAATGTAAAACGTCAAACAAATAACGATGACATTTAGTGTTTAACATTTCCAATTTCCAGTACTTAATGTAGAACAGTAGAAATAATTGACTTAAATTATTATTTTTTGAACATGGAAGTATTGTTATCTTATCTTTAAAAGATATCTGTGGGACTATATACTTTAGTTAATTATCAAACTTGTTTCATTATTGATAATGAATAATATCTTTAAATACACATTTTTCCATCATTAGCTTTTTCATCTCTCTGATCAATAGTTTGTGATTTTCTTAAAATAGCCTGGGGGAAAAAATGTAGCCCTTGTGTCTGTCCAGTTAGATCAGCGACATGGCCCATAGAAAAGTTTGACCTCATTCACCACGTGCATGTTTGCTTTTGCTGTCACGCTTTCACCCTGTCATGAGACGCATAGGCCTTACACGGCAGAACATTCAGCCATAGCTACACAGGCACACTGGTTTCAGAACAATGTGAAGATTACAGACGCACGCCCCTCCCCCCTCACACAGACCAAATGACACGCATGCTCAGTGCATTCCTGCTCTGAATGCTTGTTAATGTTATGTGGGTCACATTCCTGAAAGAGGAATCTCCTGTGTGAAGTGCAGCAGGCCGGCCTGCCAAGGCTTGCTCCTAGAGTGTCTGTCCACCCCCGCCCTTTTAACTTCCTCACACTTTCCGGTGTTTCTGATTTGTAACCCCTATAAAGCAAAACTCAGTAACTATACCTATTCCTTTTAACCTCCATTAGTTATTATTATACTTTATGTTGAAACATTTAAACATATTTTTGGTCAACTTATTTTACAGTATCATCTTTTTGTCTATTTCACTCAAAGCAACAATGTAATTTTCCAACAAGAAGGACTATGAACACTTTTTGAAACTTCTATAGTTGCTATTTCAGTATACATTTGACTTTGATGGCAAGCGAGTAAATTGTTATATTTGAGGTAGATTTGAGATGGATGTTGGACCTTATTGCATTTGATTTCTTTATTATTAAGTCGTTATCTAATGATATGAATGTCACAAGTGCTAGATTACTAAAGGTGTTTAGGTTTTTCTGTTGATAAAGCTGTGGATCAGTAGATTGACTCAACCTTGTGGGACTAATTGTTATGTTAGGGGAAAGAAAAATAGACTTCGTCCCCTTGACGTCCTGGGAAATTGAAATGATCTCCCCCCTAATATGTGTGGTTTGTATGAAAAATATTTACCTTTTTATATATATTTGTTTGTCTTTGGAGGCTTACCTACATTTTGTGTGGGACTTAGCAGTGTCGGAAACCACTTTTATCGGGGGACTTATCCAATGCAAAGAGGTGATTTGTGGGAAATAACTTTGTTTTATGCACATAGAGGTCAATCCTGAAAGATGAAACTATAACCTGTTTCTCCGTAACGTTCATCTGTCAACTCAAGACTTTCGAGGCTAGAAACAGTTGAGCTGCACATGAGAAGCTGAAATCCCCTCTCACATGGTTGTTAAAGCGGTCCCATGATCACTCAAGTGTTACTGTTGCATTCCAGATTCATCTCGAGGCAATATTGAGTAAGGCGATATTAAAATACATGTTTTTTCATACAGTTTCAGTTTAGCTATATACTGATGTTGCCTTTACAAACATGCATATCATTAGAGCCATTTTCATTTAGGAACTTTTGAAAGAAATATAAATATATAGCTATTTTCTACTCTTCTAGATTGGTGCGTGAACAATGCAATCATTACATTATAAGATTCCACTGTTTAAGAAAGAAGTAAGGGCTAATATGGTTTATTTACTTATATATTTCGTGTTGATGCCAGAATCAGGGAGGCAGAAAGTAATCAGCATTATAGGCCTTACATCTATTTGTTCACTGGGAATTCAGTGTCAGCTGGAAGCAACAGCAGCACCTTTGCTTCTATGCTAATGGTCCAAGTCTAACAGGTTTTCCTTCATAGGACACTCTAACTCCATTGTCATCCCTAGTTTTACAGTTGTTCATTTTAATTAATTAGTTTTCAGGAACCATGGGGGCCTACAAAATAAATATGCCTCTGGCATGGCCTGGCTCTTGGCCATAACAAAAAGTGTGGAAAGGACAAGAAAATATGTTTAACCAAAACTAAACGGGAACCAAAACTAACATAAAGACAAAGCAAAAAGACTAAGCGACGTGGCTGCTCCGAGATCAGGTCCTCTGCCGGGAGAGAGATTGCGGGTCTCACTCAGGCCCTTTAACCCTCTGGTACCGGCCGCCAGGTGTCCTCAATCCCAGCTGATAGACCAAAGGGAGAACCTTAAAGGAACACACACACACAAGAGATAACAAAGCAGGGGTCGTCACACCACGATTCTCGATACCCACATTGCTGTAAAAAGATCTTGAAACAACTGTATTTATTCAAGCTATCACCAAAAACAACAGTATGCAAATAATAGAATATAGCTTGATGCATCATTATGAAACTCAATGCAACCATGCAATGGTTAAATACACTGTTATCTTAGTTATTTACCAAAAAGCATTGCGGTGCCCACCAGCTGTGAAAAGCCAAAGTTCACTAGCTCTCTTCCTGCAAAATTCAACATGGACTGTGGTTCAAAAAGTTGTTCCAGTTGTTTACTCTCTATTCTCAATATATAACCATAAGTGGAAATGAGGTACCAAATGTCATCAGTGTCACAAGAGCTTCAGTAGTAAAACAATATTTAACCATAAAAGTGTTGGACTGATTTACCAATGAACCCACTTTGCCTTCCCTAAAGCTATGCCTCAATCATAGCTTAAAGCTCTACTGTGTAAAGTTTGAATAAAATGGCCCTGGCCTATTCAGTCTTGAAGGCCATCTGTCCACAATTGTCTTAGGCGTCAACCCTTCTCACCCACCCATGAACCCACACAGTTTTTTCAAATCTCACGTTGCAGGCATGTCTGAACAATAAGTAGGTCACCACAGAGAGGAAGTCGAGGGAAAAAAGGAATTCATTTAAGAGCCTCCCCTTTCTTGCTCACTCATCCATTTTCAACCATGTCATCTTCCACTGGCTGCCTCCCAACCTCCTCCCCCCCCAATACTGGCTAAAGCCAAACGCAGAATGATATGGTAAAAATGCAGGCATCCTTTAGAAGCTATGGGAGGGGACGGATGGCATCCGCTAAGAGTGACACGCTTTATAGATGTTATTTAAAATAGTGACTCTTTTTGTGATAACGCAACATGGTTAGAAATCTAAAGTTTACCATAAACTATGGAATATTAATTGTTTATTTATAGAAACACATTTGAGAAATCTAATGTTCTATACATATTTGATTATATTCCACATATTCATGATCTATACATGTACTAGTGTGCATTTTCGCCAGACAAACACAGTCTGAAGCACCTTGCTTGAAAAAAAAGTATGCATTTATTGCAGCGTCTGATTACCACAAATCACCAAAATCACACATAACCTTTATTTTTATTTTTATTTTTATTTTTATTTTTATTTTAAATGGATAACTTGTTTTATTTTCTGTCACAGTCAAATCAGATGAGGAGTCATACTGGCAGATTGTGAAATGGCCTGGATCCATCATCTGCTGACAGTTTGACTGACAGTCACGGTGATCTCTGATCTTATTGTATTGTGTGTGTCATGGGAACACTGGGAACGTCTGTCCACAGTCATACTGCGCATTATGTGATAAGTAACTCACATTTAGGGTGGGACTGTTTAACATAGCTTCATGGCTTTCAGGCCCATCAGCCTTTACCATGATTTCAGCTGATGTTACCCAAAGAGCTTCATGTAGCCCTCAGCATAAACCTCAAAGCAGACTTCAGAGCAGAGACCTGACAGAGCCAACCCGTGGCATGATCACAGACTTTTTTTCACTGTCTATTTTAGGATTGCTGGGTTATTTATGAAGGCCTTTGCCTGGAAGCAGTATGTTCTGCTGTGCATTGGTTATACTGTAGTTATCTGGCATTGGATGTGTTTCACGTTGGCTGGATATGTGCAGGTTGTTGAGTTGTTCAGAAATAGGGTTGGCAATTATGATTGTTTAATTATGTTTTAAGTCTGATGAATGAACTATCTTCCACTGTAATGCATTACTTCAGAGAAAAACACTAAACAAAAGGTCAAACAAAAAAAGGAAGTTAATTATTTTGTTTGTTGTTATTCAAATGTACTCAGAATTGTTTATTAAGAGAATGCTTATATCTTCACAAAACACCATATTGCACTATGGCCCTTCCCTAGGTGTTATTCTGTGCCATATAGTTGGACCTTAACTCGGGCAGGGCAATACATCAAAGTTGATTTATTGCTGAACTGAATTTAGATAAGTGTTCTGCTGACTCTGCATAGATGGTTGAAAACAAAGTGTTGACTAGTTGGATTAAGAAGATTCTTCTTTTTCAAATTTTAAGTGTTTGAAAAGTAATTCTGCATCATTTTCACACTCATGTTACTTTTGTGACCGTGTATAATTTACACACACATTTGCGCAATGATATCGTTTCTATTCCCTCTTCCTCTGGCTTTTCAAAGACGCCACAAGGGCAGTATTTCACAGCTGTGAGTTATGATATTCAGGCAGTGGTGGTAACACAGCTATTTAGTGAGCTGACTCATGCCCACTCTGATTCAACTGCAGCTGCTAGTGTCCTCTGAGTGCCGGCCAGGTTAGGTTTCCTAATATATAGACATTTAAAGCCTCTCCCTCAAAATGGTATGTAGAATATGAGGACACTGTCCACTGTTGGAAAATATGGATAACAAATCTGTGAAAGCACCTTAAAGGTTTTAAAGTAATTCTTTAAGGCCAATTGTTGGGTTTTCAGCTAATTGTCAGACTCCTGTCAGTCAGGAAAACGTAGCCCAAACATTATTATGCCCATTGCTTTATTGGACATCTGATAGAGCCTAATTGATCATGAAGGAAGAGATGGCATGATACATGTATGCATCAAAGTTCTCTTGCCGAACAACAACAAAAGCTGCAATCTAAACTGCAACAGTCCAACAAGACACACATACTTATCTTACATTTCAGTATCTGTGGTTCTACCAAAAGTAATTTTAAAGTAAAAAAAAGTCTGGTGGATATTTGGCTTTTCAGAACAGGTCTGTGGATGTACCTGAGGCCTAGGCTCCACGGGAACGAAAACGGGTTGTATCCGCATATTTCTCTTGCGTATAGCCCTTTAAGCTACACGACGCCGTAACGGAACGGTAGAAACGGACCCTGCAAACGACAACGGGTCCAAAGGTGGATAGATCTGGGAACGGAGCGCTCTGGGGGGTCCAACGGGGCCGTGTGGTCGCCTATACGGTCATCCGTTTCTGATAATGACGACGCAATAGCCCCGCCTCTCCCCGCCTCTGCTGCTCACCCCTGCAAAAGTACACTGCACACTGAATTCAGATTATTTATCTTTATCTCGATATGGACATAAACGCGAGTGAAGTCTAATCTGACAGGACGGAGACACGCAGCTCCTCCCGCTGTGATGCAGCGGGAGCAAAACACACTTCAAGTCAGATCATCACCCTTAGCTATTTTAATTACCTCTCAAACTACCTAAACTAGTTATAAATATGTTTGTATTTACTGTCGAGTCATCATTACTGGATCAGCTGCTGCATGAGACAGACACTGACGCTGTCAGAAGAGAGGAAAAAGAGACAGGCTCTGTGTATTTTATTATTATATATCATTATATCGTCGTTATTCATTTGTTTTAAAGCTCAATAAATAACAAAGAAGACCTTTGACCGGCACTTTTATAATTTTGTCCGGAAGATTTAAACTTTAACACACGTTGACCGGCGAAAAACTCTGCCCAGTTCCCTCGGCCCCCACCGCGGAGAATAAACAGAAGTGCAGCCATGACAACCATTCTTCTTCGCTGCTTTTGTGGAGGAAGTTGCTGCTTTTGTGGAGGAAGTTACAGCGCCACGTACAGGCTCGGCATATGTACTGCAGCTTTTCCAGCGGTTGGATGTAAACGGAGCTGTCTCGTGTAGCAAGACACAATCCGGTGTATATTGCGTGTGGACGGAAGCTTTTTGGCGTTTGTGTTAATCCTATGCGTTTTGCCGTATGCGTTCCCGTGGAGCCTGGGCCTGAGTCTACCGTGCACAGTTATGGCGCATTTCCACTACACGGTCGGCCTCGGCCACACTCGGTACGGCTCGGTACGGCTTGGCCGCGTTGGGCCTTAACAGGGCCGACTCACTTCATGCTGCGCTTCCATTACAGTTTAGGAACTGGGGTAGTTACTATAGTAACGCAGTGTAGGCGGAGCCGTGACGTCATCTTCAATGAGAAATCCAGAAACACAACACAACCGTTAGCTGTTAGCACTCAGAGCTCACAGCTCCTTATATATGTTCAGAAACTCGACAAAAGTTAAACAAGTACACACCACAGACTGCCTGTGTCATGGTGAATACAGTCACTGCTTTATTTATGTCTGTATAGGCCGTTGTTGTGAGTGTGGACGGTCGGGGCATATACTGCGTTAGCTTAGCCAATCTCCATCTAGAAAAACACGAATTTTAAAAGGTTTTTCGCCTGCCGTCTGTCTGCAGACTTGACAAAGCATTAATTCATGGTTTTTACTAACCGGTATCAGTATGTTGTTACTTCGGCATCATTTTGAAACGTGTATTACAATTAAATCACGGTCAAATATGTCCATCTTGTTGTAGTTCTAGCCCTCTTGCCAGCGCTCCTCTCTCTAGTTTAGCATACTCAGCCCGACTCAGCCCTGTTTGGTGGCCCCGATAGAACCACAATTTTCTAGGGCCAGAAAAGAGGGGAAAAAGTGGCCCCGCGCCGTGCCGCGCCGGAACGAGGCCTAGTGGAAGCACAACCAAAAAAGGGGACGGCACGACACGGCACGCTTAAAGCGAGCTACGCGCTGCAATGGAAATGCGCCATGAGTGACATTAAAAGCAGGACATGGTACTGGCCACATTTTTCAAGTGACAGTCAAGGAGTGTGATGTGTGTCTTATGATAGCAAGATCATACATTCCTGGAGAGTTTTTACAGGCCCTTGGTCATGCATACTTTCATGTTGTAAGAGAGCTTTGTAACTAGTTTGTCCTGCATTATGCTAAGTAATGAACGGAAACATGTTAGATAGGCAGTGTGAATGAAACATCTGTTTTTATTCTATTTGCAGAAGCTAAATTAGGTGTCAGTTAAGCGTGACAATGTGTTGTCCCTCACCAGCTCTTTCCTGGCATTAGTCCGTTTCAGTGTCCTCCCTCTGCTCCTAAGAGTTAACCCTTTCTTATTGTTTCTGCTCTATGCTGCCACGAGACATTGAAAATAATCAAACCTCAAATCTCCAAAATACCTTCCACAGAGGCTGTAGCTGTTTCAGTTCTATCTTTTGCTGACACACAAAGTCTAATCCTCACTGCCCACTCACATACAGTACGGGCTGATTTCCTGGACAGCCTGGCCTATGGCCAGATCCCTGAGGGTTTAAAAGGAGGTATTTGGTTTCACTAGGCCTGTATAACTGGCCTGGCCTTGCTGCTCTATAGTCATGCATGCTGTTAGTGTAGGCCATGCCAGGAATTACTAATGCAAGTTGAGAAGGGCGGTTGTACACATTCCAGAAAGTTTTGTTAATATGCAGAGCCTTTCAAATGCATTATCGCCCACCTTATCTATGCATAGGTCAGTTTATGGTATGATCAATTCTGTTGGGCAACAACACTATCAGCGTTGCATATTTTATGCCATGATTCATTGACAAACCCGCCAGCTGCCAGACATTTGTTGACTCATCATGTATAGCTTTGTTTATAATACAGGCTGTGAGCGCACCATTAGCCTCATACTAGATAGTGATACAGTTGGTATCTAAAGGGCTGGGCCTTATATCAATGAAAAGATTGATTGTAGTCATTCGTACTTAATAATGAATAATGAATCACAGTTCTGTCTAAATTAACAGTCAGACCAAGCCAGAAATGACCTCACAATCATTCATCAGTTTACTTGTATTATAATGCTGTGATGAATATTTCCTGTAAAAATTCAAGCTGGTGGTTTTCCACATCTTACCACAATAACGCAATTTTAATGTATAGGGTGATTTTCTTCTGATTAGAATGATTCTTTATTTGTCATGTATTATACCAAGTAACCTATGTAAACCTACTTCGGATTGATGTAAACCCATCGAGATGAGTGTAGCTTGTGTTGAATAGTAAAACCATTTTTAATGAGCAGAGTTTTGGTTCAACAGGCCTGGTTTATTGTTTCGGATTATGACCTGTACTGTTTTAACCTTCTTTCATTCTCAGTCATGCTGTAGCTCTTTTTATCATTTTGGTTATCTTGGTGTTCAGGACAAAGCTAGACACAATTAATTTGGTTCAACGTAGTCTGCTAGAGAAACAGGACCACTTCCCTACACCCCCAACTATATGATTTTCTACTTCTGCAGTTTTGTGGGTGTAGAAGGAAATCTTAATGGCACCACCACAGGTTAGATTTGTAAAGGCCTTTTATTTACTTTGAGGCCTATAGATTTCCTTTAGATGTTCAAACCTGAAACATCAAGTTGATCTAGATTTTTAAATGATTTCTCATGAACAAGCACATTCTGATGCTACCTTAGTTAAACAGAAATATTGTATTGTATTGATAGTCTTCATCGTGCCATGACATTTGCACATAAATGTTTTTGTCATTAATGCATTTGTTAAAGTGACATCAGTCAGACATCAGTAAGTAATGTCTTTATCTTATAGTTATTATTTTTGTCTCCTGCAGGATCGTAAGCTTTCAAAGACGGAGAGGCAGCGCTTTAAGGAGGAAGCGGGGATGTTGAAGGGACTACAGCATCCCAACATTGTCCGTTTTTACGACTCCTGGGAGGGACCCTCGAAAGGCAGGAAGTGCATTGTACTGGTCACTGAACTCATGACTTCTGGCACACTCAAAACGTGAGTCTCAGAGTAGCTGGAGCCAGCAAACACATTAATACAGACCTCGTATATACATTAAACATTAGTGCTTTTCCATTTTTATACAAATGATCATCTTGACTATTATAAATATTCTGACCATTTGTCTAATATGTTAGAAAACCAAATATTTTACAGTAATCTATTATCGTTTTATAAGATGTCAATCAATATCTAATGTAGTGCTTTTTTGAAAGAATGTTACAGAAAATACTACATTTGCTAGCTTTATAAGTTCTGTTCTCCTCAGAGGATTTATGAAAGTTATGATCTATTCCCTTGTAGATATCTGAAGCGGTTCAAGGTGATGAAAATTAAAGTGCTGCGGAGCTGGTGTAGACAAATCCTCAAGGGCCTCCACTTCCTTCATACTCGGGCTCCCCCCATCATCCACAGGGACCTCAAGTGCGACAATATTTTCATCACAGGCCCAACAGGATCCGTCAAGATTGGAGACTTGGGGCTGGCCACTCTAAAGCGTGCATCATTTGCTAAGAGTGTTATAGGTACGAATACAAAGTAATTTATTTACTCTGGTACCTGTCCTGTTGTGGGACAGTACCTTTTCTAAGTTGATATAATGTTTGTATTGAAAATGATGTTTAAAATGGGTATTTCCCTGTGTCTTGTTTTCCTGACGATGTGGTTCAAAAACAGACCACAAGGTTTCAGCTGCCTCTCAAACCACAGCTCAAATGGAGGCCAAACTCAAAAGGCTTTCTCTCTTGAAACTCAAACAGTGACTATCAAGTTTGGTCATGTACAGAATATATCTGTTCTATGTTTCTCCAAAAAAAGAGAGTTTTTTTTCCAGGCACCTACTGAATGTAACCTGGCCAAGGCTAAAGGTATGGCCTTTGCTTCTGTCTAGACTGGTCTTTGTTCTGTGGTTTGGAAATATGTGGTCTGTTTGCCAGTTATACCTTATAATGTTTAACTTCTCTTTCTATGGCTTTGCCCCAACAGGTTTTTTTTTCTAGTGTTTGTCTCTTACTGTCTTTTAAAATTATTGCAGGGCAGCAGAATCTTTTTGATCCTTCTTTGTGTCCAGGGAACTCTCCCTACTTTCTCTCTGTCAGCCTTTTGTCTATATATTTTTTATTTTATTTTTCTTTCACATTCTTGGGTATGTTCTTAAAATGTAGGCTCTAGCCTCAGCTGTGCCCCATTCTGCTGTTTGGAATAGGGTACTGCTGGTCATTGAGTAAGTATGAACTTTTGTGCGCTGGTAAGTGTGACAGTGTGCTGTAACACACATCAATATCAAAACTATTACATTTAAATAAACCGTTTTTCTGTGTAAGACCTGATTTAAATGTAAAAGGATCTATTAATAAAACAAGGCCAATGTGCAAAGACACACTGCTGAGCATCGTAACTAGCTATGGGATTTGCTTCTCTCAACCTTCACCATAACAGTTTCCTCCTGCAGGTGAGGAAGAGACGGTAAGTCAGACTTCGAAAGGTGAGTGTAATGTAAAAGGAACATGTGGTTGTAAGGTAAGGTCTTGACAAAAGTTATTTCCACAGCTAGTCATATTTCTCTTACAGAGATCATTGGCATTCCATTGAATAAATTACACAGTATTTTGTCCTAGGTATTGTTCTTTTGGACATTGCAAACAACATTAATTTTGGCTAACTCGTGTGTTCCGCACATTGGCGACCTCAGTCACATTCTTACATCCCAACATGTTATGGTCTTACACAGACAAACACGTGCTTTCTTCTCTGCAGTCTAACTGAGCCCAGCCTCTCCCTCCTTTTTTGTTTTCTTTCTCTTTTTTGCTTTCCTCCCCCTTTTTATTTTATTTTTTCTCTTCCAACTTTCATCTCACAGGTTCTACTCCATGAGATATCAACAGGATGGTCACTCCTCTCATCCTGCTCTTCCTCAACCCCTCACGGGTTAGGGGAGCAGAGTGGCAATGGGTTGTGAGAAGCCCACTCAATCAGTAAGGGAGTTCGAGAGTTCTGAATAGTTGTTTTGATTTAAGGTACCCCTGAGTTCATGGCGCCTGAGATGTATGAGGAGAAGTACGACGAGTCAGTGGATGTGTATGCCTTTGGAATGTGCATGCTGGAGATGGCCACCTCAGAGTACCCTTACTCAGAGTGCCAGAACGCAGCACAGATCTACCGCAGAGTTACCAGCGTAAGTCTTCTTTTCAACCCTCCATGTCACCCCTCTGCCCTGCCCTCACTTCTCCCTTTGTGTCGAGAAGGCTAATGTCCCATTTGGAATGATTTTAAATGACCACAGACACCTCTTTATCAAGCTTACATTACATTTATATCCTCTACAATTGTTTTTCATTCCTTAAATTCAGTTTGTTCTTGTATATGATAGTTTATTTCTTAATATCTTATCTAAAGAACCCACAAACTTTGAAAACCTCTATGAGAAAACTGTTTCAACTAATCTTTCTTTGTCCTTTTACTGAATCATGGTGTATGCTGGTTAAGCACGTAGACTGAGACGTAGATGATTGATTAAAGGCTGAACCAGCATAATTCCTGCTAACAGTTAATGGTTCAGTCTTGTTATGATGACAGAGGGGCAGCAAATCTCAAAACAAACATGCTTTTTGGTCTTATTCATACACTTCATACTGACGTAGTCACTGACAAGTCACTAATATGATTCATACTCAATAACTAGTGCCTCACAGATAAAAAAAGTTTAACCTGTTCCAAGTTTGTGTACAAAATGGTCCTTGAAATCCATACCCATACCTTTAGTTTATCATTAACTGAAAGTATATATACTGAAGTTATTGCCACATGAACCTACAAAGGACCTTTTTCTATTTTCCCCACTGAAAACGATTGAGTTCTTCTGCTCTTTTGATGAGCCATAAATTGCTCGTATTGCAGAGCATCCAACACGGTTGACTCAGATGAGAAACAAAGAGCTCTTGTGGTGTTGAGCCTACATTTGGGTAGTGTCACATGCTCTAGCTTTACAGTAGTATTCCTTGGGGACATGAGCTCCTGTTTTTCCTGTTTTGATATTAAGCTCATCTGTTCAGCCAGTCCTCCATTTTCCTGTAGCACCATGTAGTTTCCTGTTGCTATTGGTTCAATACATCACCTCTCATTGACTGTCCTTTTATGAGTTATGCCATCCTTTCCCCACACAATCTGAATGTATTTAATATAGGGCTGTCAAGTTAACGCGTTAATAACGCGTTAACGCAAAAAAAAATTAACGCCACTAATTATTTTAACGCGATTAACGCATGTGTATTTTTTGTCCTCGGCCGCCCCGTAGTTTCAGAGCGCATCGAGTTTAAAATACCATCTACAAGCTGATGCTGACAGCCCGCTCCTGCTGCCCGCTTGTGGCAGACCACACTTCCACGCTCACTGGCAGGCCCGGACTGGCCATCGGGAGGACCGGGAGGGAGTGTGTATGTGTGGCGCGACTCGCGCGAGCGAGGCACACCTTACGTGTTGTTGTTAGCATCTGGTGCTAGCTAGCTGCGCTAACGGATATAAGGAGCTGTTTCAATGACATTTCGCCGACAACTGCGCCGAGCACTTGACTTTATGCAGGTAGCCAGACAGTGGGACATTGTACGAAAAGTCAGCGCACTCGGCACGGATAGTACGCGCTACATGATTGCAGCGTCCAGGCAGCACACGTTCGAGCATATATGCCTTGAGACACACACACACACACACACACACACACAGTATTATTGTATGAGAGAGGTTCCAGGTTGAATTGAGGCGAATATTTGTAATGTTCAGAGGTTGTTGTGTTTAATATTCATGAGAATATTTGTCATTGTTCAAATGATAATAAACATATAGAGCATATTTGTCCACTCGTATGTTGATAAGAGTATTAAAAACTTGAAAAATATCCCTCTAAGGTACATTTAGAACAGATACAAAATGTGCGATTATTTTGCGATTAATCGCGATTAACTATGGACAATCATGCGATTAAATATTTTAATCGACTGACGGCCCTAATTTAATACCACCCTATAGAAAGCATGCCATCCTTAACACATTATATGACATAAGTTTTTTTTAAAGCAACCCCTTCCACTTCATTCAATGGCCTTTTGACATTCATTTATAAGTTACACGTTTTATAAGAAAAGAAGGTTTATAATTCCCAGTCCTCTTGGAGATGATAAATACTTGTGTGCTAATTATATAGAGCCTCTGAGCTGTAAAGGAGATAAAGGTCATAAGAAAAAGATCATATGAGAAGAAGAACCATTCTCATTCAGGCTTCTGTGTTTCCTGTAGGGGGTGAAGCCAGGCAGCTTCGACAAGGTGGCCATTCCTGAAGTGAAGGAGATCATCGAGGGATGCATTCGCCAGAACAAGGACGAGAGGTCTGTATCTTCAGAGCATGTAACAGGAAGTCTAGCTCTCCAGGAAAACATATCTTTGCTCACGGTTTGTCTCCCTCTATTAAGGTATTCAATCAAGGACCTCCTGAACCATGCCTTCTTCCAGGAGGACACAGGTGTGCGTGTGGAATTGGCAGAAGAAGATGATGGAGAGATGGAGCTTATAAAGCTGTGGCTAAGAATTGAGGATGTAAAGAAACTCAAGGGGAAGTACAAAGATAACGAGGCCATTGAGTTTTCTTTCGACCTCCTCAAAGACGTCCCAGAGGATGTGGCTCAAGAAATGGTGAATTTAACTTTTAAAAAGTATAATCAGTCTTTTAAAAATGGGGTTTTAATATAATTTGTTTAAATGTTTAATGCCTAATTGTATGTCATGTCTTTGTGATGTAGGTTGAGTCTGGTTATGTGTGCGAAGGTGACCACAAGACCATTGCGAAGGCCATAAAGGACAGGTCGTCTCTAATCAGTCGCAAGAGAGCACAGCGGCAGCAGGTGTGTAAATGCTCACTATATAGTGCATTTAAAATGTTAATTATGTATATTTTATCCTGTTTACATGTTGTCAATTGGTGTTCTCTTAAGGCGTTTTAAAACATTTGCCACTGACTGTCTTGCAGGTCAGAGAAAATCAGGAGAAGAGAAGGATAGAGGAAGAGCAGCAGGGTCAGTTACCCCCTGCTCAGCCACCAGCCCAACTGCCAACAGAGGTGCCTCAGTCCCAGCCCGTGCCCCAGCCCGCTCCCTATGTCTCTCCACAACCAAACCCACTGATGGCCCCCCAACCTGCATCTCAGCAGAGCCTTCAGAGCTCCAACTATAACACTCCTCAATCCACCCAACTGGCCGGCATGGCGCAGGGTGTCCCTTTCATCCCCCAGTCAACGGGACAAGTCCCAGTTCATGTTCAGAGTGTGACCTCCATCCAGCCGGAGTCAGAGGAGCCTGAGGCGGACCAACACCATCAACAACAGCACACTGGAGGAGGTGAGTCTCAAAGATGATCAGATAATCCTGAAGCCACAATAATAAAACGTTTTCATTTTTAAAGGTTAGTGAATATTTTCATAAATTAACCTTCTTGTCCACCTCTCACAGCCATTCACATGGGAGACAGACTGTCCGGTTCCACCGTCCCCCCTGAGATCCAGCCCCCTCAGTCTGGAATATCCTACAGCAGCCCTCCCAGTCAGCATCTTCAGCCCCAGGTGTCACACCAACAGACACAAAATGACCAAACGCTTCAGCAGCCATTGTCAGTGGTGAGTCTAGTTAAGGAAAAAAATAGGACATCATGTTTGTCTGTTGAAGAGAATTAGATAATGTGCCTCTCAGAATTAAGTATACATTCTAATCCTGTGTCTAACCTAATGGGCTCTTTATATTTATACTTCTGAGCTTACATTTTCCCCTCCAGCTACACGTTTTTCGTCTTGGATTTTGCTTATTTATCTTTACCACGTTGTTTTCTCTGTGTGACTTCAGGTTCAAACCCAGATGCCAGTGGTCCACCCTGAAGTTGTTCCTGTAGTTCCCGGCAGCCAGTCGGTTCCCGTGGCTCCTCAGCAGGTAAATGTTGAACTGCATGTCTTTAAAGTGTAACTTCACGCCAACAAGCTTTGTTTTACTGACCGCTAGCTAAAAGTTTCAAATCTGTTGCAACTAACAACAAACGTATTGTACATGTCAGGCTGTACTGAACGCTCCCTGAGTACACTTGTATATCACTGCAGCCGGTGCACTTCAACCTCTCAAGGTCAGCAAAGCACTTCAGAGGCTGTTTAGACCTTTTAAAGCTTATATTCTCAGTTTTTTTTATTGAAAGCAGGTCTGTTCTGAATCCCCGGTTGTCCAGACTCTCATGTTTTTTTCCCCCGTAGTTTTCTTTTTATTCTCCAGTTTTCCACTCTTACCCTGTGTTATGTTTTGTTTCTTATAGTACGGAGTTTACTACCAACCATCGCTTCCCCCTCAGGTAGATAAAATGTCCCATTTTTCTGTTCCTTGGTAATACACCCAAAGCCTATCTGAGGGAAATAAAAAAAACATATTTTCTATATTTTCACAGGTGCTGGTTAGTTTTGACTTACTTGTAGTAGGCATTTCCAAACAGAATTCAGTATCCAAACACAAATGTTATCTTAGCTAACAAAATGTGGAACATGGTGGTCATGTACATGCTTCTATAAACACGGGAGAGTTCACAATGTTCACTGATGAATATCTTGACAGGCCACACTGTCAAATAGATCAATGTTCTGCAGCTATGTTGACAAACAGGTAAGTGTGGGTTTGGAATAGAGCCAAAGTCAACCTCTGTAAAAGGTTCAGGTTTAGTGCCAGAGTTTTCTACAATGAAAGTGGGTCAGCTTTTATCACAACATCAGGACACTTTGATTATATTCTTGTTTCTGACATCTTTTCCCTTTTTACTCTCATAGATTCCGACCCAACAAGTGGTGATACCCCCATCTTCTCAGACATCCTCACCCCAACAGCAGCAGCAGCCAGAAAGCAGCGCTACTCTCTTGAGCTCCACTCTACCACAGGCTGGAGTTCAGCAGCTACAGGTGAAACACACCTCCCATGCTCAGGCTAAGCATTTATCATACCCTGACATATCGCTTTGCCATACCAAAGTATGGATTTCATGCTACCCATTTTTATGTTTGCATTTTTTCTAAATCTTTTTTTTTCTTTTCTCTGGACACTCAACTCTCATTACCATGGGTGTCCCCTTTTTTCTTCCACTCTTCCCCTCTGCATGCTGCTCATTCCTGCATGACTTTTAGTCTTGGGTCAATGATCCAAGTCCTATCCTGTCACCTCCACTCAACGCAGAGCACCTTTACTTCCTCTATCAGGCCTCTTGCCTCTCTGTTCTGCAGGTACTCTACAGAGCAAAACAACAGAAGTTGTGTGGGTGGGTGTATGTGGGTCAGGTGTGAAGTATTTGGTTCCTGTTCTGTAAAATGTGTACATTTATCCTTCAAAAGACTACATAGAATTTAATAATATAAAAAAAAAACACATAATCCTTGTCACTTTTATTATAGAGAACCAACATATGATTAACGTAATTTCTATATGTTTTTTCAACCCACATCTACAAGACCCCAGACCACAATTTCTACTCAAAAGTGAAAAACATAGAATAGTGTTGGGAATTCGCAAAAACATTTTCACATCATTCTGTTCTAAAAACAGCTTTTTTTTTAAGCTATAAATCCTCCATGAAATCAGTAACCCCAGTAGATGTGTCTGCCTGTAATAAATATTAGACATTGTATCACAGAAAGCGCAGTATTTTAATTACCTACAGGGCTGGAGTAGTAATTAATAGAACAGCAGTACCTTGTTTAGACGTTATTAATGTCCATATAAGCACAGCAGAGAAAAATGGCCACATTCTGAAGGAAATGAAAACTCCATTACACAGCAATATTTACACAGTGCCTGAGAGCTGAATAATGGCGTCGCTTGTTGTACCCAGACACGTTTCATCCGGTTCAACTGCTCCACCTCGTGGATGGTCTGGTTTCCATAATCCCTTTCATGTGGATAGTTTATCACCATAAATGACCAAAATAACAATGGAATGAATTTAAATTATATAAAAAGGATCATGGGTTTATGGTCCTAAAATAGAGTAATGCACAAGCAATGGGACTTGTGTTGATATTTGCTTTTGACATGAAGTGTTTGATTAATAACAGTCTTCTGTGTTTCAGGCCCCTGTGAGTGTTGCTCAGCCAGCCCCAGTGGAGCCAGGATCCTCTGCTCTGGTGCCTCCATCTGTAGAAAGGTGAGGAGAATGTTATTGTCAAAGGTTTCACTAGCACCGCACATTGTGTCTGTTCTCTCTCTAACAGATCCATTTCTCTTTCAGTTGCCTTTCGGATGCAGCTTCAGGTCTTAGTGACGGCAATGAGGGAGGCTCTACATCAGGAGGCCGCCATGAGGGCCGCTCACTGAAGCGTCACCAGCGGCGATCAGTACGCAGCCGCTCCCGCCATGAGAAGACTGGGAAGGCCAAGCTCAATGTTCTCAGTGTATGTATCTGAACTGATGAGTTCATTTAAATCCTGTCTTATGGTCTTTGTCATTCAAACTGTTTTAACCTGGACAAATGTTTTGCAGATCTCAAATGTGGGAGACAGAGTAGCTGAGTGCCAGCTGGAAACACACAACAGGAAGATGGTGACCTTTAAATTCGACCTTGATGGTGATAACCCGGAGGAGATTGCACAGATCATGGTAGACAAAACATTTTAACTTTCAGATTGTGTTTGTTACAATAAATATATTATTTAAAATTGTAATACCCATTAGATAGAGTATCCCTTGAATTTGTAACTGAGGAAGAAAATCCACTGAACAGAAAGCTAGTGAAAAAGGACACGTACAACTAATGTTAAATATTTACTGCATCAACCAACACATTTTACACCAATTTTTGAAATGTTCTCTCCGTATATGTAGTTTTGGTCATTTTAGTTTAACTTCTTTTGCTTTTTGTTTCAGGTTGAGAGTGAATTTATTTTGGAGAATGAGCGGGAGTCCTTCGTTGAGCAGGTCCGTGAAGTCATAGAAATGGCCGATGAGAAAGGAGAGGGCATGAAGGAAGGCTTCCCTCAGGTATTTCTTTACTTCACATCACCTTGTTAGCCAAATATACATTTTGAGGAATTTAAAATGTAATCCTGCTGAACCTGACAATTGAAATGTATGCTTTTATCTCTTTGCAGATGATTGATCTCCAAAAACTGCCTGAGCTGTCTATTCCTATGCTGCCAGGTAAACTCCATTGAGCCAGAAATACTGTAATTATTTATTTTAATGAAGTCCAACTCCTGTCTTACAATCTTCCTCTCTTTAAATTACTCTCAGGCATTTCCCCCATGACTACAGCGCAGGTGGTGCATTCGGCAGGTCGGAGGTTCATAGTCAGCCCAGTGCCCGAGTCTCGTCTTAGAGAACAGTTTTTTGGCGGTACTTCGTCTAATACCTCCTTTGGAGATGAACCAGGTGAGAGAAAGTTCATTCTCTGTAGAATCAAACTGTCCCCACTGTTTGGTTTTAACTATAAAAAATGTTTGACACTGCATGAAAATACTGATTAAAAGTAAAAAAGAAAAAGTGTCAAGGCGCTGTTGGTGTTATACCCTAACTGAAAACAAAACCTTGGCAGATACATGTTTTTTGAAAAATATGAATATACTTGACATTTCTTTTCTAGCTCCCTCTCTGCCACTGGGCCTGTCTCTGTCCGCTCCATCTGGGACTTTGCAGCAGGCTTTCAGTATAATGAAGCAGGTTCGTCTGGAGAGAGGCAGCACCCTGGATCCCTCTGAGCAGGAAGCAGGCCCTGTCCCGGCCCCTGAGGCAGGACCCGGCCCCCACTCTAACACTAGCCTCGCTCCTTCAGAGGCTGTAGCTCTGCCTCTGACATCCACTGCAACATCCTCACCATCCCCCCCAACTGGGAGGGTTTCCCCTCCACCTGCAGTCACTCAGTCCCAAAGCCCCGCCCCCGTCACCAGTGATCCCAGTCCCCCTGCTCAGTCAGCCCATGAAGCAGCCCCCCCACAGCTTCCACCAGCTGCCAATATCCCCCCCACACCTTCCAGCGTCTCCCCTCCATCAGTGCAGACCTCCGTCCCTGCAGGCCCCGGGCCCCCGAGCAGCGCCTCGGTCCCGTCTATCGCCAGTGTTTCATCCAGTAGTCCTGTCTCTGTCCCTGCTTCAGAGCAGCAGCCTTTTAACGGCGCTGCATCGTCCTCCCAGCCTGTGAATTCGTCCATCCCTGCATCACAGTCTCAGCCCGTCCCCGTTTCTGCTCAGCCCGTGGAGCCAGAGGGAGCTGATCTCCAGAACAAAACGGCTGGCAGAGATGATATCCAGGCGCTGGATAAAAAGCTCCGGTCCCTCTTCAAAGATCAGAGCTCTGCGTCAGTGGATCAGAACACCGGCACCTCTTCTCCTCCCACTGGGACTGCTTCCCCTCCCCCCGGAGCCGCCCTGGTGCCCCCTTCAAACCTCCCCCTCTCCTCTGGAGGGCAGAGTGTCCTGGGCCTGACCACCACCCCGGGTATTACCCCAGCAGGACAGACCCCTTCAACTAAGTCAAGGGCACATGTAAGTGAAAACTGCAGCATACAAGAATGTATCTAAAATGCTGCTTATTGCAACAACAAAAAACTGTTTGACTAATTTCCTTTTTTGTTTTATTTTAAAGACTTTACCTACTGGTTTTGACCAAGCTGCTACACCTCCATCTGAACTTGTACCTCCATTTCCTGGACCAAATCAGGTGAAGTTAAATTTGTTTCATTTACACTACCTGTTCTACTATCAGGCTTTTGTCGTGTAGATGTACATATGCAATACTTAGATGGTCCCTTATACCCCGTTTGTTTGTCTCCACAGTCTCAGAAACCCCTGGGTAATTTAGACGCCCAGTTGAGGAGAGCTCTGAGCCCGGAGACCGTTCAGGGAGGCAGCAGAGCGCAGTCTCCAGCAGCAGCTTTCACTCTGGGGCGCTTCCAGGTACGTTTCAGTCACGGCTTTAAAAGTATCCGGTCAGTTCAGTTTAAAACAGCTAAACCTTGTGCTCGGTATACTCAAATGTTTCCCTCTCCTCTTCTCCAGGTGTCTGTTGCTACTGATGGTTCGTCCAGCATCGTTTCCTCTTCTTCCCTCACGCCGTCCTCTACCTCTTCCTCTTCTTCTTCCTCTTCCTCCTCTTCCTCCCCCTCTAGTCCAGAAAATACCCTCCACCGGTCATCCGCTCTGTCCAGAGGGGTTTGTGAAACTGACTCTGGAAATCGAGCCTCTCCTCTCTCCGCTGATGCTGCCAGTCAGCCCACTACCATTGGCCGCTTCCAGGTGTCTACAAGCACCAACGCCACGACTGGGACAACCACTGGCTCCAAAGTGGGACGTTTTTCAGTCACAGGTACATACCAGGTTCAAATTCAGCTAGCTTTGATACAGGGTAGCCAACACGGTCCGCAGGGGCAACGTGAGTCGTAAGAGGAGTAAAAGTAGCCCCCGACTTGTTTTATTTTTTTTAAGTAGCTCTCATCCTAAAAAAGGTTGGAGACCCCTGGATTATTGTAATTCCCTCCTTGCACAGGATTTATATCAAACAGTGTCCTTCTATATGATACTTGAATAAGTACAAAACTGATGCTTCATACGTTCTGAAAAGTCCATCTCAATGCTAACACTTCCCCTGAGCTAGCTTGATGAACCATAATAAGGGTTTTAAAAATGGATCATCCTATTATCACAGCTGTCCTTTAGTCCCCTTTGATCATTGAATATGATATAAGTTGTGTGATGTCCTCTGAGATGTCTTTATAAAAAGCAAAGCACTCTGCCTCATTCAGTATTTTTAAACGTATGCTATTGGCGGAGGACGCAGTGGGAATGACTATTTAGAGCTTTGATAGCATTTGCAAGCTCAGTAGACTTATCCAGCTACTGAATTTAAACATCCATTATGTTTAAACAACATCAGATGATAATCCTTGTATGTGGATGAACATTTAACAAAACAAATGTTCTTCCTGTGCACAGATTACAGATGTTTAGGGTTCATTTTTAAATCATGTGAGCTCCCAGGTCAACATATTCTACCTTTTTTTAAATGTGTTATGTGTTTGTTTTCTCCCAGTCACCCATGGCTCCAGTCTGCAGAACGGTCCCTCATCGTCAACGTCTGATCCTCAAAACTCACACACCCACTACAGCAGTGACAATGATGATGACTCTGAGAAAGAGGATGAAGCTCTGCACAAAGAAATAAGCCGTCTCAGAGAAAAGTATGTCACATGTACACAATGATACTTCAAACTACCTTTATTTCCTCTTACACACTTATTGCAGAAGTCTGTCTGTATTTGAGTTTTTCACAGCTCAATACAAATATTTGAACATGACTATGTCTTCTTTGGCTCACAGACACATGACGGAGATCCAGATATTGCAGAGTCGTCAGAAAGAGGAGGTGGAAGCCCTGTTCACAAAGATGGGAAAACCTGCTCCTTCTTCAGTCTTCTCCCCTGCTGTGGCCATGGCTGGAGGTCGACGGCGGCTCAAGAGCAGAAGCCACAAATCGTCTCGCGGTAGTGGACAGCCCAGCCCCGTGCACTCAGGTCAGGACAGTGAACTGTTATACTCACTTTGATGTCTGTCCAGCAATCAGTCACTGAAGCTGTTAAACTGCTCTATTCCTGGGTAAATATTGACATGCCTCTGTGTATCATGTTTGTAAACAGCCTCCGCTCCGAGTCATCACAGTTCAGGGTCCCCTCCGAAGCAAAGTTCAGCCTCGGCAACAGAGGCCTCGGAGACGGCAGCAGAGGCCTCTCAAGCAGCTAACGCGGCGGTGTCCATAAAGCAGCTCAGAACCTCTCCATCCATGCCCAGCCTCAGCAGTTGCTCCACAGGTAAGTGAAAGCACTTAGTGTGTTCACAGAGAGCTACTTGAATTGATTTTCTAGATTAAATCTCACCTCTCTTCTTGTTTACCAGGATCAAGTGGGAGCGGCTCAACAAATGGTTCAGGCCCCTGCCAAAACCACTCTGCTTCTCTGACCCAGACGGTCGGATCCTCTTCCTCTTCCTCTCAAACTCAGAAGGGCAAGGGCACCTTCACGGATGACCTGCACCAGCTGGTGGATAACTGGGCGAGGGACGCCATCAGCCTGTCTCAGTGCAAGAGAGGTCCTAAAGCTGGAGCAGCGGCACCTCTGGGACACGATGTAGGCATTCACTACTTTATTATAATGTTTCAATCCATCATTGGAGCTCTGATAAGATATGATGTCATGGTTCATATGGGTCTTTGGGGGTTCACATAAAGGACATTGGTCATTGAAAGAAAAGCAGAGAAATGTTCGAAAACAAAAAGTTCTTTATATATATTTTTTACTTAAAGTAAGTTAGGAAATAGTCTACTTTAGGATGTCTACTTATGTGTATCCTGTAGTTGTGTTTCACTCGTGACCGGCTTCTAGAGTGCTATGGTCACATGCTGGTTGTCATCATAAAAAGTCTCAGTGTTGTCATAGTAATTAAGCCTAAATTGGGTTCTCTCACACTGCAGTGTTTGGCCTGGAAAGTCCTTGAATGTGATACTTTAGAAGATGTTGGACCCATGTTATGTTGTTGCTGAGATAAAATAGGTAACACAGACTTTTCTCACTATTACAGATCATCCCTCCGGTCAACCAGGGCCGTAAATTCTCCGCTCCAGGCTACCTGTGCCCAACGCTTCCCACACCTTCTACCACCACGACCACCGCGTCCACTCACCTCCCCAACCCAGCCGTTCCCTCTGTCCCCATGGCCCCTCGGAAAGGCTCTCTGGGCCCCAGCGCGCAGGGCTTTGGATACACCTCGGCCCCATACAGTGCCGCTCAGTGGGCAGGACCCACAGGCACGTCCCAGGTCAGCATGCTTAACCCCGCACAGCCACTCACGCAGTACCAGCCGCCCACCACAGCCTCGGTGTCCCTGCACCCAGGATACCACATGGGAACGACCGCAGCCCCCCAGAACCCAGTGGGCCCCGGAGGGTCCAACCTGAGGCCCACGTAGCCCAGTGGAAGCCCCCCACAGGGCAGACAGTCGTGAACGAGAACCACTAGCTCTTTGTGTAGTAGGCTGGTTGGCCGGCTGGATATTGTGCTTTTTATTTTTATTTCAACTTTTATTGTTTTTTTTTCTGTAATAGAGTGGACCTGTGTGGTTCATGTCCTCTCAGGCAGAGCAAAATCTGTCTTTAGATTCAGAGGAAGAGTGCAATACACATCCACAGCAGTCTCACACCTAGCCTGCCATCAGCTGTGGAACTGAGCTGTGACGAGCCGTTGGTTTGTGTCTGGTGATGAAACCAACTGCAGCCAAAGATGTCTTTTGAGAGCAGACGTTGCAATGTTTTCATTCCTGTGAAGAGGAGGAAGAGGAGGAGGAGGAAGGAGTGATTGTGGGTCACGTCCTACTGGTCCTGACTTAAAGCCGCACTGGGGCTGAAGACAGTAAAACAACACTTAGACACACGTACAGACACACACCGGACTAAATATGAACCCTAGTTGACAGACTTGTGATAACATGTTAAGTTGTTTCAGAGAGCTATAGGGGGGAGTGTACAGAAAGTGGGAGATAACAGTGGGACAGTTTGTTCCAGATGGATTAGCAAAGTGTGACTGGTTGAGTTGGGAGGAGAAAGTTCTGGAAAGTGAGGCAGGAGTGTAAAGGATAGGGTTGCAGTTTGAATACATCCCTATGAACTATTAAGTCAAATGCAATAATGGCAAAGAGTAGATGAACTGTCCCTTGTAACTGTGGCCTTAATCCCCAAACACATTTAGACATTGACTTTGTACATAGATATTTCTTCACTGGGTTATGATTCCACATTTAGCATATTTATGTTCCTGTGAGTCTGGTGACATTGTGATACGAGTTGTCATCCATTCAGATTTATTATACCAGTTTATTCTTCACGTCTGACATATAAGCAGTGGATCGTCCACTACTAAAGGCATTGTCCTGGTGTTGAGCACCATTCGCAGTGTGAAACTTGAGAGGTGATGCTGCTGAAAATCACAATCGGGTTGAGGTCGTTTGCAGGGTGTTTTTTTTTTTTTTGTCTTGTTTTACACAAGAAGGAAATTAGAATCCAAGATGACACATTAAACAGCATTAGTTTGGCAGATAGGAGCAGTTCATTATCTGCTTATCATATATATTGTAGAAAATAAATAATTTTGGTTGATTTCAAAAGTATTTGTGGAAGGTTTTAGTCTCTCCCAGTTGTTTACACAGATGGTGCACAGCGCATCGATGAAGTCATGCTGCATTAAATATGTCTGCTCATAACATTTAGCCGTCACGTCTCAAATCACAATTGTCTGGGGTTCTCTCTTTCTGTGGTCTGTTTTTGTATGCGTATATTTAATAAAAACAAATGTTCTTTATGGACCTGTATTCAGCCATCAGATTTTGATGTTTCACTGTAATTATTATTAAAGGTTGTTAAACAACATGTAGTTAAAGGAATATAAAAAGTGCAATTGCAGGGTTGTTGTCATTGGTATCCTACTCATCACGCAGGAGTAATCCTGTCGTTTATTAAGCTCTTCTCTCTATGACTGCCCTGCCCCCCCCCCATCCCTTTTTTTTCCTATTTTATTGTACATATGTTAATGTGAGGGAAATGCTTTCACGTAGAGCATGCTTGTGGTGACCCACTCTACATGTACATGCTCTATTACCTGTAAACATGAGGAACACTTTAGTGCCTTGCATCCTCACTAATGACAAGTTCCAGATTCATCGATTGCTGTAGCTGTGATTGGACGGCAGAGAAACAGTTAACCTGTACACGATGTAAACACCACAGGTGGCTCCTGCACACAGCCTGTCAGAGGATGTAACACTCTGAAAGTGTAGACCCCACACAGGACTGCAGAACAAAGAGCAGAGTCATGTGGAAGCGTTTCTGCTCCGGCTACACTTCCCTTTGTGTTGTGTGATCAGCTGTGTATTTATATTTGGCTCATGCGTACATGGATTTGGCTGACATTTGTTTTTGTGGGTTTATCATTAAACTGTTTCATAGACGTACTTGTTCAGTCGGCGGGCGAGCTGTATAAAGGTTTAAACGTTTTCATGCTGGCTAAACTTTTGTCTCCGCACCTCACGAGTGCCATGCTGTCATTGTGACCCTTTCTCCTGCTCGTAGATTGGATGAATAGTTAAACTTCTCTAGAGAAAAAATAAGTTACTGCAATGCAGAATATGCAATGTTTAAAGGGACTGAGGGGTAATGGAAACATTTGCATGCTGATGAGGGGTTGTTACCGACTTCAATGTTTTTGATATTGGAATATTAGAGATCTTTTTTTTATTATTATTCTTTGCCTTCCTGAGTCGATCTGTCCGATTGCCATTCACCAATATCACAGGCACACCTTTAATATCAAACTATCGCTAAATGATTTCTGCATGCCGGCTTCACTGGTGTTTCATCTTACAACTGACTTACAACTGTACAGCACTAGGTCACAACAAAGCTCTTGTAGTCCCTCTGCTACGATCAGTAATTATCCCACCTCTAAGGTACTGGCACGCAGTCATATCTGTCTTTATTTCTGATCCCTCCAACTGACTTCCTGTGATTCAGTGTTTGTTTTGTGTATGTTTTTCACATTGTACAAAATGTAAAAACAAATAAAAATACTATCAATTAAAAACTTGTCATGCTATGGAATAATGTTTCTAAACCGTGGTCACTTTTTTTATATAAAAAAGAAAATCACATTTATAATATAACACTTCTCTATAAATATGTATGATAAACTAAGCATTCAAAGACAACGCTACGAAATGTGGGCTTGTTTGGTTTATATCTATAAATATCAATTAAATTCAGTTAATTTACTTCTGTGGTTATTTTTTTATTTTCTTACAAAACCAGATAACATATATCCAAATATCAGAAATAGCTGCAATTCATTGTAAAATTAAAATTCAATGAAAACACTGAAATAAATATTAAAACAAAAAAGAGGAAAATACATTTTACAAGTGGTGATGAAGATCACCGGAGCATCAGAACATGTCAGGTGTCGAGTCGGCGTTTCTTCATGTACTGTCCCTGTCTGTATGGACTGAGGGCTTCACCTGTAAGTTTCAAATTAAGTTCAGTTGATTTATTTAACACTTCAGACACAAAGGCAATCCAAAGTATTATTTACATAAGCATTAACAATACAAAACAATACAACTATTTGTAAAAGAGAAGCTAGTTAAATGAACATGCAAGTGCGGAAGAAGACTTGAGTCTTAAAATGACCTTGGCAAAAGTGTTTAACCCCAATATAAAAAACTCAGTGTTGGGACAGACCTCCAAGTGTATTTTAGATCTACAAAGCTAAAAGACTAAATGCATCTCCATGCTCGGTTCTGGGACATTCAGCAGTAGACTCGTCTCATGAAGCCTCACCTGGTCCCGCCTGACACTGAGCCGGGTCCTGTGCTCCGCTGTACGAAGGGGCCCTGTCCGGGGCCCTCTGAGGGGTCTTACTGCGGGTGTGCATCTTGTGATTTGAGGGCGTGGTGGGCCGGAGACCTTTGGGATGAGGGTCGTCTGCAGGGACATCCAGTCCATCGATGGCATCCAGAGTGAAGTCCCAGAGCGCAGGATCATCTGTGGGAGGACAAACAGCTGTAGTGAGACCCCCTTCCCACACTGTGAGCATGGTGCGCCCTCTGGTGGTGGAGCACTGCACCTGCTAGATGTTCCCCCCCACCGCCAGGCTTCATGAGTCCTGCTGAGGTCTCACTGAAGGCTGGAACACCATGGTGACCTGGAAGGATGGATACTATTCAATAAAAACACCAACAACACTTATAATCCTTAGAGTTAAGAATTTAAATATTTTTAACCAGCCGTCTTAAACCTGAAATGATGTCATAATGCCACCCACATGTTTAAGAATCGATGATGCAACTGCACTGCAAATTATTATGTTTTTATCTTCATTTACTGTACCAGCATGGCTTCCAAATCAGAGCATACAAATGTAAGTATTTAAGTCACATGAAGCTCATTGCAGAAGTTTCAAGACAGTTTGATATTTAATTATTTTTATGTTTATTAAACTGTGACAGCTTCCTCTTCCATCTGCAAGTAGAATCCTGCTGTTTTCAGGTAAAACATCTGACAGAACATTACCGTAGGTACAATGGAGTCATTTTATTGCTGGGATGAAAAAAACAACCTTTTCTTTAGGCGTTTTTAGCAATGGAATAAAATCCATTTGAATTTGAGTGTGAGGCCGCTGCTTAAAGTAGAATTAAATCAGTAATCATCAAACCTTCACCTGTGCTGGGTCCCCGTCCAATAGCGAGCTCTGAATCCTCAAACTTAGCTTGATCTGGTTTCAGCTGCAGCTTCTTCTCCATCTCTCTCTTGAACTTCTCTTGAAGCTGCTGCTGTCGGAGCTTTCTCAGCTGTTTGGGGTCTGTGTGCGATTCTGACCCGCCACCGTCCATCGAGTCCATGGAAGGTCTTAGAAAACAAACGGAGGAGACAGATTGGATGGGACGCACATTTGGATGCACACCAATAGGAGCAGTGAAAATAAAAACTGAAACTAGACCCACTGCTGTTACCTGGCGTCCATGTCCTCACTCCTCCTGCCAGCAGGGGCAGTCGGGGTGTGGGCCTCTGAGTAGTTCTGGTTCTGGTTGAGGACTTTGGGCTCCAGCACCGTTCTGCCGTTGCTCGTCGCAGATGCAATCTTTTCCTCCCACACCAGACTGGAGAAGCGGGCTTTCTCCACAGAGGGCTCCCCCTCGATGCGCTTGGTCTTGGCCGGGTCTAGAGGAGGAGGAGGCTTTAAGCAGAGGAAACAAACATTCAGCACTTTTTGAAGAGAAAAAAGAAAAATGCTCAGATGATATCTGACCTTTTTGGGGATCTTGTTAATGGCCATGAGGTATTCTTTATTCAGGATGCAGTTTCCAAGAGCATTACCAAAGCATCTAAACATGAACCCAACAAAAACACAAATAAGTTAAAGAAATTCAGACAGATAAAATGTTCTAAATTATTTTTTATTATCATTTAGAAAAGGAGAAGTGGCAGTACTTCAGTGCTCTCTTCAGGCCATCCGTGACAGCTTCCTTCCTGGCCTTTTCCAGCGACAGAGCTTTGGACTTCAGACCTTCACTGACTCCATACCCCACATCTTCATGAAACGCACCGTCCTGGAGGAAAACATGTGTACACACTTAAACTTTTCTGGACAGCATGCAGGAAGAAAGTAAACATAATGTGAAATGTAAATACAACTATCTGGATCAGACAATCTATTATGGAAAAGTAAAACAATTCAAATATATTTAGTAAAAGGTTCCTTCTCTAACCTTCAGCATCACCTTGATAAAAGCACTGACTCCGACGTAAAACTTCCCGTTGATGATGTCTATAAAGTCTGTAAATCAGAAGTGTTTCATTAGTTTGACCGTGTGGAAATGGTTTAAAGCATCCTCTGCTGAGAGCAGAAGCTCCCTGCGGCGTACCGACATTCTGCTGAGAGATGGAGTGAGACCACCCGTTGTATCCAAACATCTCATTGGCCAGGCCGATCACACGGTGCCCTTCAATGTAGCAAACCTGGAGGTCCCGTCCAGAGAGAGAGAGAGAGAGAGAGAGAGAAGGGTTTTATTTATTCGTTTTTTTCTGGTAAATAACTTTGGAGAATTTCATTTAAAAAAGTCATTGTATATTATGTCATAGAAATGTAATATGTCACAAACATATCATAGCATAGTATGTCATAGAAAAACTTTCGATAAAGCCAAGTGTGTTATGGAAAAAGATAACATATCCTCAAATTCGTTTCCACTTTAGAAAATCATATCCTTGTTAAGAAAACATAAAAGGAGGTGTATGGCGCAGTGGCTTGTGCGTTGGTGTTCGGATCAGGGGGTCACAGGTTCAAACCCCACTGCAGTCAGCATGTCGTTGTGTCCCTGGGAAAGACACTTCAACCCAAATTGCTCCTGTGGGGATTGCCCACAGTATTGTGTCGCTTTGGATAAAAGCGTCTAACAAGTAACATGTAATGTAAAAGATATTAGCAATAACAACGCATTTGAGCGATAATCATGTTATTCATAACCCAGCCTGACATTTAACTTCAATTGGCTTCACAGCTGTGCAGAGAACAGACACTCGCCTTCTGTCCTCCTCCAGCCATCCTGGAGCTGATGTACTCGGGGCCCAGCTTCTGCCGCAGAGCTCTGTCCACCGCCTGGTGCTCCTCAGCTGTGTAGGTCAACTGACAACACACAAACACAAACAAAGAACACAATCATACACACCATGACTTCATAAAAGGGTGGGCCCTCTACCCTTATTGATGATTATTAATGATTGATTAAAACCCTGACCAAATGTCGTTAAACTGCATTAAAATTGATTTCATCTATTGAGCTGATACATTTAACAATATTTTGGAAATGGTTTGGAGCAGTGTGTTACAAAATGGGGTACGTTTCTCACAACCAGTTTTTAAGGTCAATAGCTGTTCAAATCCAAACAAACCTTTAAACTTCCTAGAAGAGAACTGAAGAAGTACTCCTTCTGCAGATTGGTCCATTTCAGAATAATATATATTAACTGTTTTGATTATAATTATTTATGTATTAATGTGTTATCAAAGCTGATAAAGGTGCAGCTAGTTATTTACTTTGTATACTGCAGGGTAGCTTGTGAAATTACTCCAGGTGTGTAACTAAAGTCTTATTTAAGTGTTGATGATATTTAATATCATTAATCCTAATCTGCAAAGCAACTAAAGATATTAAATACATGTAGTGGAGTAAAATTACCATATTTATGTCTGAATTGTAGTGAAGTAGAGTACAAAGTAACATCATATTTAAATACTCAAGTAAAGGGCAAGTATCTGAAAATGGTACCCAAGTACTTGAGTAAATGTACTTAGTTACTTCCCACCTCTGCTCACGGCGAATACTAAAAAAGTGGCAAAATAATGACAGAGGCACAAAATGACTACAAAAATACCAAAGAAACTACAAAGTGACAAAAAAACTATAAAAGGTTGTCAGTGAGATGTCTGTGCCCATGATCCGCCCCTGCAGCTACGCACCTGTCCGAAGCACCTGGGAGCAGAGCTGCTCCTCTCCCCGGCGTTACTGCTCATGACTGCTGTCCTGTAGTCACTGAAATAAAGAGAAATGGAAACAGGTTAATGTAGCTCAATGATAACTGCTGTCATCTCATATAACGCCTTACTCTGAGTAAGTTACTCATCTATAATGTCACTTAAACGCTGAAATGAACCTACAGCTAACATCAAAGATCTGAAAAACGTAGTTTAACAATTAACAACTCGTACATTTCAGCTGGCTTTAGTTTACATATTACATAAACCATGGTCTTATTCCGTCGTAAATTAGATATCCCATTCATATAAACCCACACTTACCAGTTAAAATTCCGTTAAAAGTGATATTTGTGGTAGAATAAGCTAACCAGAGCGTCTGGATGTGTGCTACATTGAATCAAAACACATCTGAACTTCCCGCCCGGACACCAAGAGGAGGGGTTTATGATGCCTTCGCGTACTGTCGGAGAATGTAAATGTAACGAAAATGATCGAAATTACGCTTTTGTATTCATTTTCTCAACGAGAATTCCACTCTTTGGCAGATGTGTAAGAAGTACTCTGATAAATTACTTTAGTTAAGTAGCAATACTACATTGAAAAAATACTGTTACAAGTCCTGCATTCAAAATTGTAGTCAAGTAAAAGTAATTTAAAAAAAAGTAATGGCATTAAAATATACCTTCTAGTGCAAGAAGTAAAAATACTTATTTTCCAGTATGGCCCATTTTCGTATAATTACTTTTAATGAATTCATGTCAATGTTGCACTTGGTAAAGGTGGGGAGTATTTAAATGACTCACTGCTGGGTAGCTTAACCTAAGATAATACATCATGATGTATTGGTTTATTTATATTCTGTATTGTAAATCCATCCCTGCTAAGTAGCTATAAACAATATTTGTAAAAAAAAATGGCTTACAAAATATAGTGAAGTAAAGTATAAAGTAGCTTAATATAGAAATACTCAAGTGAAGTACAAGTCCCTCAAAATTGTACTCAAGTACAGTGCCTGAGTAAATGTACTCAGTTACAGCAGTTACTTTATAACACTGCTGTTTGGTCGTCACATTTGGGGCCAATGCTACCTACTGTCAGTCTGATTCAGTTTTGCTAATATGATGTTATGTTTTATTTGTACACACTTCTTTGAGAGATAAAGCACTTGTGTTCTGTCCCTGATGCATGTTCTGTCTACACAAATGTTGGCAGATAGCATAACAAATATGGCAGAAGGAGAGTCACGAGAGTTTGGTTTAGACAGTTTACTGAAATCTTAGTTTTGTCTTTCCATCCATTCCATATATTTTTTGTAAAACTGAACAATAATGACAAATACAATGTTTTACAATTTGCTTCAAGTATAAAGCACAAATACATCTTAACTGCTCACAGTAGCTTCTACGCACATGATTGATTTCCATGTTAACTTTAGCACTTAAACAGTTTGCTATTTATTTCAAACATAAGTTTAACATGTAAAGTCATTCTAAACAAAGAAAAAAGGTGATAAACTCACAAGTAAAGGCTTCCAAGGCACAACAGGTTGTACACGATTGAGAGAGTCCTTCTCCCAAGCCACATGAGACATTGTTTGTGTCTCAGAACTGTCCAGCCTCTTCCTGTTTACCATCTTTATTCCTGTTTTGCCAAATTCACACCAATCAAATGTGTATATGTCCATAGAAAGGTCACTTTCTGCTTTCAATTTCATGCTATTTGGACTTCTACGAATTAGTATCAGTTCATGTAAAAAACACACAAGAACAAAATCCAAATTGTCTCACTATGTAATGGTACTGCACTTTGTCTTTACAATCCCAGTATCCTAATCCTTTGATATCTGTCCCTCCACAGCTGCCAGAGCAAAGTGTCTGTATGGTCTGTACAGAGGACGGATTGGAGGAGCCCTGCACATATTCAATGCAGCTGTTCTGTTCTATAAAATGTGTTCAATCTGCTTGTGTTTTTTTTAATGTTTTTCTAATTTATTATTTAGTCTATTCGATTTTACACTTTTTTTGTGTTCTGCTATAGGCTATTTAGATTATTTCATGTAAAATGTTAACGTTGCAACCCATCTACACAATAAGATAAACAATGAATTCTCTGCTCTAAACCAAAAATTACTACATTTCAAAATGCAAAACAATGTCGATGTACAATTACTATCAAAACACGGCAAACCTGACTCAAATCTTTTTGATTCAAAATGCAAGAGGAAATATTGTCAATCCCACCACAACCACTTTAAAAACACTAGCAATTACATTACAAATGCATAACTTTTCATCTTTCAGTCCAACCTGTAAAGACAATATGTAATCCATTGTTTTTTATAATTGTGTTAGTGTAAACCCCTCTATTTCTTTGTTGCACAAGTCCTGGTTGCCCTTTAAAAAAATGATTCAAATCTGCTTCATAAATAAACCTTCTTGCAAAACCAACATCCTTGAAGATCATCCATTGCTTTGACAGTCACTACTGTGAACTCACTGCAAAACTAATTTAAAAGTTATATTGTTTACAAACAGAAATATAAGTAGTACAGTCAAATGAAGAGAACATTGAAAGAAAAAGTATGCAAATCTCACTTTTTTCATTTGAGAGATGTAACTTCTGCCAAGTGGATGTAATGAAGTTTGTGAACATTTTCCCACAGCAGTTTTAGCTCGATGGTTTCTGCTGTGTATATTGATCCTCAGGTGTGTGTCCAGTGTGGACTTTTTTCATGTGTTTTAACAGACCACTGTTGTGTCTGAATACTCTCCCACATGTTGTGCAGATTAACGGCTTCTCATCTGTGTGGATTCTTGAATGCCTTGTCATTGTTGAACAGTAACTAAATCTTTTCCCACATGTTTGGCAAGTAAATGGCTTCTCACCTGTGTGGCTTCTTATGTGGACTTTTAACTCACTACTACATTTGAATCCTTTGCCACATGTTTCACAGGAATATGGCTTCTCACCGGTGTGGGTTCTACTGTGAATCGTAAAGGATGTTAAGTGACTGAATTGTTTTCCACATGTTTGGCAAGAAAATGGCTTTTCTCCTGTGTGGATTCTTAGATGACTCTTCAATGCGGATATATCACTGAATCCTCTCCCACAGGTCTTGCAATCGTAAGGCTTCTCACCTGAGTGGACTCTCAGGTGGAGGGTTAAGTTACATTTACGTCTGAAGTCTTTCCCACATATTTTGCAAGAATATGGCTTCTCACCTGTGTGGACTCTCAGGTGGACGGTTAAGTCACATCTACCTCTGAAGTCTTTCCCACACATTTTGCAAGAATAGGGCTTCTCACCTGTGTGGACTCTCATGTGACTCTGCAATTTAGACTTGTACTTAAAACTTTTGTCACATATCTCACATTTTAATTTATGAAATATTGACTTAGTAGTGCTGTTAACATTGTAGCTTTGACTTTGAATAATGTTATCTCTCTGGTTTACTTCTGGCTCTGCGTGAGTTGATCCTGAGTCTCCATGCTTGCTAACTTTCTGATCTTGGCTCTCAGCTAGTGGAGAGTTGTGAGAGAGGAGCTGGTGGTCCCTGTTTGTGTATACAATCCCTTCTTCTGATGGTACATAGCATTGAAGTGGAAACTGCCCAGGAGGCTTTTCCTCGCCTTGACTCTGAGTGTCACTGATGCTCAGGTTCAGAGTCTGATCTTCACTGTGATCCCTTTCCATATAAGTCGGAGTCAACATAAAGTCATCAGTCTCCTGCTTCAGTACAAGCTGCTCCTCACTGCTGCACAGCTCCTCTTGTTCCTCTTTAATCTGTGGAGGCTCTGGGTCCTCTTGGTTCACACTGTAGTTTTTCTCCTGAATACAGAGCTGCTGCTCAGAGAGAACCTCCTCCTCCTTACAGACATGTTGCTGAGGGAGCTCTGGAAGAAGAGACAAAATACTAAATAACACTTCTGTAAACGTTAGGAAACAAAGGCGACCCCATTAGTTCTGGTATATATTTTAACAGTTATGTTATACACCGAGAACATCAGTGTTGTGACATTTATGGGGGCGTTTACTCACCTATCCTGTGTACATTTATTGTGGGTAAGATGTTCAACAGTCTGCGCTGACGATCAATCTCTTCCTCGTACTCGACGATAGTTCTTTCAAAAACTCCTAATATTTCTTCAGCAGCAGCAGTCAGTCTCTCGTTGACAAACTCTCTCAAACTCGGAACTGCAGACATTATTGTTGTTTAGCTTCAACCGAAAACATTTCAGTAATACGACTACAATATATGCGTTTGAGCTGATTCTTCTTCTTCTTCTGGTTTAATGGCGGTTGGCAAACAGCTATCAGGTACATTTAACGCCACCTTCTGGAATGGAGTGTGGATCAGCACGGTTTTAATCTAAATTCTAACTATATTTCCTGTTTACTTCTGTTGTTTCTCCAACTTTCTTTTGAATACTATAAAGATGTCTGCCCAACTCCTCTGTCCCATTCTTCCTGCCATTTCTTTTTAAATTGGGATTTTATGTTGCTTTTGATTTCAGCCTTAGGCCTACTATATTTCACATTCATACTACTTTGTATTTTCCTTGCTGCCAACTTTGCATACTTGTCTGCTAACTCATTCCCCTCCACCCCAATGTGTGCAGGGATCCATATGAAGTAAATTATTTTTCCTGCTCTTGATATTCTTTGTAATGTTATTGCTATTTCCAGGATTATATCTAGTCTTGCCTCTGAATGCAGTTGTTGAATGCTTTTCAATGCACTGCTGGAGTCAAATCCTATTAACAACTTCTTCATACGACCTCCTTCCACCCAATTCAGAGCTAGAAGAATAGCCAGAAGCTCCCCAGTATACACAGCCAGACCATCGCTAACTCTTTCGCTTTTCATAACCTCAGATTCTATAATGATAAATGCTATCCCCACTTTATTATTGTCTGTTTTGGACGCGTCAGTATATACTTTTGTAAAATCCGGGTACTTATATTCTAAATGATTATTGACCTGTACTTTGTTTGTTGAACTTCCTTTTGCCTCATCTAATAATCTGAAATCCACATATGTCTCCTGCAACGTCCAAGGCGGTATGACTGGGAGGGGCACTGTTGGACTTATCTCTGCGTTAGCTACTCCTAGCTCATGCACCCTATTTCCTATAGTCCAACCAAAACTTTTAATTTGCCGCTTTTCCCACTCTTGATAAATCTTTAGTAGGCTACGCTACGCACTGGGTGATTATTATTATGTCCTTTTATATTTGCCCAGTAAGTTATTGCTATTTGCATCCTTTTTTCAAGAGGCATTTCCCCCATTTCAACCTGTAACGCTGTAACGTTTGAGCTAATTCAAACTTTGACGTAGCTTAAAGGGGACCTATTATGCTATATTTGACAAATATATTGTGGGGCCATACCTATACAAAACATGTCTGTGAAGTTCTTTGCTTAAAATACCAAACAGATCACCCATTGTAGCCATGCCTCATACCCCTCTATTCCAGCCCTGTGGGGGTGCTAGTGGAGCACGCTCATGTACTGTCAAGTCGCCGGAGCCTCGTAGCGGGGGCTACTGCGGAGCGCATAAAGCAGACTCTTCACGCTAACGAAGGATCACTTTTTCTTCACGGCAGGGAAGGCTACGGTCCCGCAGCTGCTGCCACTCTGTTGGACTCTGTTTGGGGGGTGGGTGCTAGTGGAGCACGCTCATGTACTGTCAACTCGCCGGAGCCTCGCAGTGGGGGCTACTATGGAGCGCATAAAGCAGACTCTTCACACTAACGAAGGACCACTTCTTCTTCAGGGCAGGGAAGGCTACGCAGTACGCAGGCTACTGTCCCGCAGCTGCTGCCTCTCTGTTGGACACTGCACATTACTCACGAGACGTTGTAAAAAAAACGAGTGGGGGGCGAACGCACTAACCACTCCGCCAGCACCACAGCGCGTGCCGGATGAGAATGTCTGGCGTGCCAGATTTGGCCTGCGGGCCGCCAGTTGATGGTCACTGAGCTATAGGCTTTTAAGATTACTTCATTAAAGGCTTAAAGGTCCCATGTCATGCTTTTCCGGTTATTACCCGTCCCCTTGTGTGTTATGAAGGTTTTTATGCATGTAAACGGTCTGCAAAGTCACAAACCCGGTCTGCAAAGTCACAAACCCTCAAAGTACGCCCTGTAGCGGGTAAAACTCTAACACAGAAAAGACCTGTCTATGCTGCCCCAGAACGCCTCGTTGGAGATTTCTCTTTTTCTTCCTGGGTATGGTGACGTGCCCTTACCCAAATGGACCCATTGGTCTAAATGGACCAATCCGCGGAGCCGTTACGTTAAGTCCGTGGATTAGTCCAAATGGACCAATCCGCGGACTTCCTCACACACACACACTCAATCTTTTCTCAGCTGCAGCTCCGCCGATTTCTCCTCCCTGAGACGGCGGGACGCGGCGAGGCTGTGAGTCTGTGTGTGAGCACACACACAAACTCCCAGCCAGGCTGCGGGTGTGTGTGTATGCTCGGGCTGGGTTTCGCTGTGTCTCGCTGTCTCGCAGACGGCCACTGGGCTCACAGGGAGCGGGGGGCAGGAGCTCCAACAAGCCGTTTAGGACAGAGTGAATACACATACTATACAGAGATGCTGTATGAGAAACCAATGAGTTTGGAAAATTGCACAATATAAATCTATTTTAGTATACCTCAACAATGGAATTATGATCAGTAGAAATGGCCATGACATGGGACCTTTAACGTTGCAACCGACCCACATCAGACAATAAGACACGTTTTCTGCTCCAAACCTTTGTATTTCTTTAAAGACAAACTCTACATTTAAGATGCAACAAAAAAAAATGTGTCTGTACAATTACTATCAAAACACGGCAAACCTGACTCAAAACTTTTATTGAAAATCCAAGAGGAGCATATAGTCAATCCTACCACAACCACTTTCAAAAAACTAGCAGTTGATGGCATTACAAATGCATTACTTTTCATGTGATTTTTTGTTTGACAGAAATAGGTTTTAAGTCCTTGTTGCACTTTTATAAAAAAATATTCAAAGCTGCTTCATCAAAAAACATTCAGACAAAACCAGCATCCATCAAGATCACACCATTGCTTCTACAGTCACTACTGTGAACTCACTGTAGAACTAACATTTATAAGATAAGACAAGATAAAGATAAGATAAGATGTACTTTATTGATCCCAATTTGGGGAATGTTTGCATTGCAGCAGCAAAAAAAGACAAGGCAATGTTCATAAGAGAAATTAAAACCCTAGAAATAAACAATCCAAAATATTTCTGAAATATAAATAAAATAGCATTAAAAAAGAAGAAAATATACATGTTGAAATACAAATTTACAGTAAACAAAATATAAAACAGAATATTATATATACATTAAGTGTGTAAGGAATATTAATTGAATATAAATGTAAAATGTACATAGTGAGTTTAAGTCCAGTTATCCAAGAGAAGCTATGGAGCAGAGAGTTCTCGCCAGAGGTCATTTGTTATATAGAGTAGGGATGGGAATTTGAAAGCAAATGTATATTCGAATATTCGACCCCCCAAAAAACGGTTAACCGATTAACCAAAAGGTACATATCCTATAAAAAAAAAATGTGGTAAACAAAATTACAACAAAAAAAAAACTTTAAAAAAATGTAATTTTGTTCAAATAAGTATAGAAACCAAGTCGAATTTGTCAAATGTATTGAACTGGTGATCACAGTTTGAACCGTTGACAGCTATAGGCCTACAGCTTTCATGCTTAAAACATAACTTGGTTTTTAAATTAAAGAGGGATCATACACGAACAACATAACGGGTTAGGGTAACGTAACCCTATTACAACAGAGACCAACAACCTATAACAGGGCCTATGCACAGAATGCTGCTATTCAATACTCATTCTTGTTTAAGAATATGAGCATGTCTACATGCTTAGGGGAGAGGCGGGTGCGGAGGCGATTCACAATCAGGCCAGCTGTAGAGAAGACCCTCTCAGCTGGAATTTGGGCATAAGATGAGGTTTGAGTCTGCGTGATCTGCGTGTAGGGAGGGGCAGCAGCCATATCATTAGCTAGAACTAGATCTGATGGATTTGGACATAAGCGCGAGTGAAGTATAACGGGACGCGAGAGAGAGATCATAAGAATATAAGAATATTCGAATATTCGATTAATCGTTCCCATCCCTAATATAGAGTTATGGCAGTAGGCAGGAATGTTTGATGCCAATGACAGAGCCAGCTATCTCGATTATGGAAATAGTTTTAAAGTAATATATATAGTAAAAAGAACAGTCAAATGAAGGGAACATTTAAAACAAAGTATTAAACATCTTTAATTTAAAACCTTTTGTTGATTGGGTTAAAGAGATGTCGCTTCTGCAAAGTGGATTAATGGAGTTTGTGAACATTTTCCCACAGCAGTTTTAGCTCAATGGTTTCTCCTGTGTATATTGATCCTCAGGTGTGTGTCCAGTGTGGACTTTTTTATTGTGTCTTAATAAACCACTGCTGTGTCTGAAAGCACTCCCACATGTTGTGCAAATACACGACTTCTCATCTGTGTGGATTCTTAAATGCTTTTTCAGCGTTGAACTGTCACTAAATCTATTTCCGCAAGTATTGCAAAGGTACGGCTTCTCACCTGTGTGGATTCTCAGGTGGAGGGTTAAGTGACTATTACGTCTGAAGTCTTTCCCACATATTTTGCAAGAATAGGGCTTCTCACCTGAGTGGATTCTCATGTGACTCTGCAATTTAGACTTGCACTTAAAACCTTTTTCACACATCTCACATTTTAATTTATGAAATATTGACTTAGTAGTGCTGTTAACATTGTAGCTTTGACTTTGAATAATGTTATCTCTCTGGTTTACTTCTGGCTCTGCGTGAGTTGATCCTGAGTCTCCATGCTTGCTAACTTTCTGATCTTGGCTCTCAGCTAGTGGAGAGTTGTGAGAGAGGAGCTGGTGGTCCCTGTTTGTGTATACAATCCCTTCTTCTGATGGTACATAGCATTGAAGTGGAAACTGCCCAGGAGGATTTTCCTCACCTTGACTCTGAGTGTCACTGATGCTCAGGTTCAGAGTCTGATCTTCACTGTGATCCCTTTCCATATAAGTCGGAGTCAACATAAAGTCATCAGTCTCCTGCTTCAGTACAAGCTGCTCCTCACTGCTGCACAGCTCCTCTTGTTCCTCTTTAATCTGTGGAGGCTCTGGGTCCTCTTGGTTCACACTGTAGTTTTTCTCCTGAATACAGAGCTGCTGCTCAGAGAGAACCTCCTCCTCCTTACAGACATGTTGCTGAGGGAGCTCTGGAAGAAGAGACAAAATACTAAATAACACTTCTGTAAACGGGGCGACCCCATTAGTTCTGGTATATATTTTAACAGTTATGTTATACACCGAGAACATCAGTGTTGTGACATTTATGGGGGCGTTTACTCACCTATCCTGTGTACATTTATTGTGGGTAAGATGTTCAACAGTCTGCGCTGACGATCAATCTCTTCCTCGTACTTGACGATAGTTCTTTCAAAAACTCCTAATATTTCTTCAGCAGCAGCAGTCAGTCTCTCGTTGACAAACTCTCTCAAACTCGGAACTGCAGACATTATTGTTGTTTAGCTTCAACCGAAAACATTTCAGTAATACGACTACAATATATGCGTTTGAGCTAATTCTTCTTCTTCTTCTGGTTTAATGGCGGTTGGCAAACAGCTATCAGGTACATTTACCGCCACCTTCTGGAATGGAGTGTGGATCAGCACGGTTTTAATCTAAATTCTAACTATATTTCCTGTTTACTTCTGTTGTTTCTCCAACTTTCTTTTGAATACTATAAAGATGTCTGCCCTTAACTCCTCTGTCCCATTCTTCCTGTCATTTCTTTTTGAGTTGGGATTTTATGTTGCTTTTGATTTCAGCCTTAAGTAGGCCTAGGCTACTATATTTCACATTCATACTACTTTGTATTTTCCTTGCTGCCAACTTTGCATACTTGTCTGCTAACTCATTCTCCTCCACCCCAATGTGTGCAGGGACCCATATGAAGTAAATTATTTTTCCTGCTCTTGATATTCTTTGTAATGTTATTGCTATTTCCAGGATTATATCTAGTCTTGCCTCTGAATTCAGTTGTTGAATGCTTTTCAATGCACTGCTGGAGTCAAATCCTATTAACAACTTCTTCATACGACCTCCTTCCACCCAATTCAGAGCTAGAAGAATAGCCAGAAGCTCCCCAGTATACACAGCCAGACCATCGCTAACTCTTTCGCTTTTCATAACCTCAGATTCTATAATGATAAATGCTATCCCCACTTTATTATTGTCTGTTTTGGACGCGTCAGTATATACTTTTGTAATATCCGGGTACTTATATTCTAAATGTTTATTGACCTGTACTTTGTTTGTTGAACTTCCTTTTGCCTCATCTAATAATCTGAAATCCACATGTCTCCTGCAACGTCCAAGGCGGTATGACTGGGAGGGGCACTGTTGGATTTATCTCTGCGTTAGCTACTCCTAGCTCATGCACCCTATTTCCTATAGTCCAACCAAAACTTTTAATTTGCCGCTTTTCCCACTCTTGATAAATCTTTAGTAGGCTACGTTATGCACTGGATGATTATTATTATGTCCTTTTATATTTGCCCAGTAAGTTATTGCTATTTGCATCCTTTTTTCAAGAGGCATTTCCCCCATTTCAACCTGTAACGCTGTAACGTTTGAGCTAATTCAAACTTTTACGTAGCTTAAAGGGGACCTATTATGCTATATTTGACAAATATATTGTGGGGCCATACCTATACAAAACATGTCTGTGAAGTTCTTTGCTTAAAATACCAAACAGATCACCCATTGTAGCCATGCCTCATACCCCTCTATTCCAGCCCTGTGGGGGTGCTAGTGGAGCACGCTCATGTACTGTCAAGTCGCCAGAGCCTCGTAGCGGGGGCTACTGCGGAGCGCATAAAGCAGACTCTTCACGCTAACGAAGGATCACTTTTTCTTCACGGCAGGGAAGGCTACGGTCCCGCAGCTGCTGCCTCTCTGTTGGACTCTGTTTGGGGGGTGGGTGCTGGTGGAGCACGCTCATGTACTGTCAACTCGCCGGAGCCTCGCAGTGGGGGCTACTACGGAGCGCATAAAGCAGACTCTTCACACTAACGAAGGATCACTTCTTCTTCAGGGCAGGGAAGGCTACGCAGTACGCAGGCTACTGTCCCGCAGCTGCTGCCTCTCTGTTGGACACTGCACATTACTCACGAGACGTTGTAAAAAAAAAATGAGTGGGGGGGGAAAGCACTAACCACTCCTCCAGCGCCACAGTGCGTGCCGGATGAGAATGTCTGGCGTGCCAGATTTGGCCTGCGGGCCGCCAGTTGATGGTCACTGAGCTATAGGCTTTTAAGATTACTTCATTAAAGGCTTAAAGGTCCCATGTCATGCTTTTCCGGTTATTACCCGTCCCCTTGTGTGTTATGAAGGTTTTTATGCATGTAAACGGTCTGCAAAGTCACAAACCCGGTCTGCAAAGTCACAAACCCTCAAAGTACACCCTGTAGCGAGTAGATAGATAGATAGATAGATAGATAGTACTTTATTGATCCCAAATTGGGAAATTGTTGAGTAAAACTCTAACACAGAAAAGACCTGTCTATGCTGCCCCAGAACGCCTCGTTGGAGATTTCACTTTTTCTTCCTGGGTATGGTGACGTGCCCTTACCCAAATGGACCCATTGGTCTAAATGGACCAATCCGCGGAGCCGTTACGTTAAGTCCGTGGATTGGTCCAAATGGACCAATCCGCGGACTTCCTCACACACACACACTCAATCTTTTCTCAGCTGCAGCTCCGCCGATTTCTCCTCCCTGAGACGGCGGGAAGCGGCGAGGCTGTGAGTCTGTGTGTGAGCACACACACAAACTCCCAGCCAGGCTGCGGGTGTGTGTGTATGCTCGGGCTGGGTTTCGCTGTGTCTCGCTGTCTCGCAGACGGCCACTGGGCTCACAGGGAGCGGGGGGCAGGAGCTCCAACAAGCCGTTTAGGACAGAGTGAATACACATACTATACAGAGATGCTGTATGAGAAACCAATATGAGTTTGGAAAATTGCACAATATAAATCTATTTTAGTATACCTCAACAATGGAATTATGATCAGTAGAAATGGCCTTGACATGGGACCTTTAACGTTGCAACCGACCCACATCAGACAATAAGACACGTTTTCTGCTCCAAACCTTTGTATTTCTTTAAAGACAAACTCTACATTTAAGATGCAACAAAAAAAAATGTGTCTGTACAATTACTATCAAAACACGGCAAACCTGACTCAAAACTTTTATTGAAAATCCAAGAGGAGCATATAGTCAATCCTACCACAACCACTTTCAAAAAACTAGCAGTTGATGGCATTACAAATGCATTACTTTTCATGTGATTTTTTGTTTGACAGAAATAGGTTTTAAGTCCTTGTTGCACTTTTATAAAAAAATATTCAAAGCTGCTTCATCAAAAAACATTCAGACAAAACCAGCATCCATCAAGATCACACCATTGCTTCTACAGTCACTACTGTGAACTCACTGTAGAACTAACATTTATAAGATAAGACAAGATAAAGATAAGATAAGATGTACTTTATTGATCCGAATTTGGGGAATGTTTGCATTGCAGCAGCAAAAAAAGACAAGGCAATGTTCATAAGAGAAATTAAAACCCTAGAAATAAACAATCCAAAATATTTCTGAAATATAAATAAAATAGCATTAAAAAAGAAGAAAATATACATGTTGAAATACAAATTTACAGTAAACAAAATATAAAACAGAATATTATATATACATTAAGTGTGTAAGGAATATTAATTGAATATAAATGTAAAATGTACATAGTGAGTTTAAGTCCAGTTATCCAAGAGAAGCTATGGAGCAGAGAGTTCTCTGCCAGCCAGAGGTCATTTGTTATATAGAGTAGGGATGGGAATTTGAAAGCAAATGTATATTCGAATATTCGACCCCCCCAAAAAACGGTTAACCGATTAACCAAAAGGTACATATCCTATAAAAAAAAAATGTGGTAAACAAAATTACAACAAAAAAAAACTTTAAAAAAATGTAATTTTGTTCAAATAAGTATAGAAACCAAGTCGAATTTGTCAAATGTATTGAACTGGTGATCACAGTTTGAACCGTTGACAGCTATAGGCCTACAGCTTTCATGCTTAAAACATAACTTGGTTTTTAAATTAAAGAGGGATCATACACGAACAACATAACGGGTTAGGGTAACGTAACCCTATTACAACAGAGACCAACAACCTATAACAGGGCCTATGCACAGAATGCAGCTATTCAATACTCATTCTTGTTTAAGAATATGAGCATGTCTACATGCTTAGGGGAGAGGCGGGTGCGGAGGCGATTCACAATCAGGCCAGCTGTAGAGAAGACCCTCTCAGCTGGAATTTGGGCATAAGATGAGGTTTGAGTCTGCGTGATCTGCGTGTAGGGAGGGGCAGCAGCCATATCATTAGCTAGAACTAGATCTGATGGATTTGGACATAAGCGCGAGTGAAGTATAACGGGACGCGAGAGAGAGATCATAAGAATATAAGAATATTCGAATATTCGATTAATCGTTCCCATCCCTAATATAGAGTTATGGCAGTAGGCAGGAATGTTTGATGCCAATGACAGAGCCAGCTATCTCGATTATGGAAATAGTTTTAAAGTAATATATATAGTAAAAAGAACAGTCAAATGAAGGGAACATTTAAAACAAAGTATTAAACATCTTTAATTTAAAACCTTTTGTTGATTGGGTTAAAGAGATGTCGCTTCTGCAAAGTGGATTAATGGAGTTTGTGAACATTTTCCCACAGCAGTTTTAGCTCAATGGTTTCTCCTGTGTATATTGATCCTCAGGTGTGTGTCCAGTGTGGACTTTTTTATTGTGTCTTAATAAACCACTGCTGTGTCTGAAAGCACTCCCACATGTTGTGCAAATACACGACTTCTCATCTGTGTGGATTCTTAAATGCTTTTTCAGCGTTGAACTGTCACTAAATCTATTTCCGCAAGTATTGCAAAAGTACGGCTTCTCACCTGAGTGGACTCTCAGGTGGAGGGTTAAGTGACTATTACGTCTGAAGTCTTTCCCACATATTTTGCAAGAATAGGGCTTCTCACCTGAGTGGATTCTCATGTGACTCTGCAATTTAGACTTGCACTTAAAACCTTTTTCACACATCTCACATTTTAATTTATGAAATGTTGACTTAGTAGTGCTGTTAACATTGTAGCTTTGACTTTGAATAATGTTATCTCTCTGGTTTACTTCTGGCTCTGCGTGAGTTGATCCTGAGTCTCCATGCTTGCTAACTTTCTGATCTTGGCTCTCAGCTGGAGAGTTGTGAGCGAGGAGCTGGTGGTCCCTGTTTGTGTATACAATCCCTTCTTCTGATGCTTCATAGCATTGAAGTGGAAACTGGCCTGGAGGCTTTTCCTCACCTTGACTCTGAGTGTCACTGATGCTCAGGTTCAGAGGGTGTTTCTCAATCGCGAGTAAAGCTGCTCCAGAGCCACTATTTCAAGCATACTACGTCATCGAGTGCCGCCGAAGTACTGTTCCAATCTCCAGCATACTTGGAAATCTACCGAGCCCGGCGTACTCCGTTTGGAGAAATATCGAGGCTGCACATGAGTAGACTTCGCGGTCTTAAAATCCCCACAATGCTTTGCGCACGGACCAATTTCCCCAAATCTGTGGCGGAAGATGTAAGGCGGGACCTCTCATATGACGCACACCTACACACTTGCTAGCATGTTCCACACTTCGTTTTCCGAATGCCAGGAAGTATTCTTGACTCGCTTCTGAAGCAAGATGCTCGGCAGACAAGTGCTACCAAGCAAGCGTACTCGCGATTGAGAAACACCCTGGGACTGATCTTCACTGTGATCACTTTCCATATAAGTCGGAGTCAACATAAAGTCATCAGTCTCCTGCTTCAGTACAAGCTGCTCCTCACTGCTGCACAGCTCCTCTTGTTCCTCTTTAATCTGTGGAGGCTCTGGGTCCTCTTGGTTCACACTGTAGTTTTTCTCCTGAATACAGAGCTGCTGCTCAGAGAGAACCTCCTCCTCCTTACAGACATGTTGCTGAGGGAGCTCTGGAAGGAGACAAGAGTAAATAAGACACACACTACTGTAAACGTTAGGAAACAAATGCGACCCCATTAGTTCTGGTAGGCCTATTTTAACAGATGTGTCCCCCCATATCACAACATCAGTGTTGTGATATGGGGGGACAAATACGCGTACTCACCTATCCTGTGTAACCTTATTGTGGGTAAGATGTTCAACAGTCTGCGCTGACGATCAATCTCTTCCTCGTACTCGACGATAGTTCTTTCAAAAACTCCTAATATTTCTTCAGCAGCAGCAGTCAGTCTCTCGTTGACAAACTCTCTCAAGCACTGAACTTTAGACATTATAAGGGTTTAGCTGCAACCGAAAAAATGTCAGTACGACTACAATATATGCGTTTGTTTGAGCAAATTCAAACTTCGACGTGGCTTAAGTTTAAAGAGCGTGATTCGAGTAATCCAGGAAGTTGTTGGTGAAGCGTGTATCGAGCGTTTTTATTATAGCCTACTCTATGGTATCGAGGCAGTATCGATTTAGGCCAGTGACGATGACAAACGAAACCCCGCTGCCCGTCGATACCACCTAACTGATGGTGCTTCAGATCGGTTCAACCGGTTCAGTGGTTCAACCGGTTCAGTGGTTCAACCGGTTGAACCGCTCAGTGGCACTGACACTTCACAGCAGGTACGTGCACACTCAGTCACATAGACATCAAAGTGGGCTTGAGCCCCTGCCCTTTTTCTTCTTCCAGAGAAAGTGCCCTTTCCCCCCCCCCCCCCCCCCCCCCTTTTTTTTTTTTTACATAAATGAATATATATCTACTAATGTTTGCGCACAGTTTCCCTTTCCAAAAATGTATTGATTGAATACAAAATAAAAATATCAGGTCGGGAGATTAGATTAGAGTGAAGTTCCGATGCTCCCTCCCTCCCTCCACGTCTCCTGCACAGCGGAGCGGACATCAGCAGTCACTTCAGACAGACAGGTGCAGTACCTCCCACTTTACTGTCCCATCCCATGTTATGCGGGCTTTTCTTGGCTTGTTTGAAGCCGGTGAGTGGTGACTGGTGATGAACAAATGACTAAACTGCCAGTGCCTCGAGTTTACAGCTAATTAGCCAAAAGACAAAAACATTTATCATGGGCATACAGGATAATGCACTGTACTTAAGGGGAGACACTAAAGGTGAATACAGTAAAATGTGTATCTAATAACGTCATCACAATCGCCACATTGATATGCAAATTAGGCTTTAACTATAGCCTATTAGTAATAAAGTAGCCTACTATCTTATCTCTTATCTTAATTCAAATGCACTAATTTGCATGCAGTTAATTACCAAGGCATTGCAGGTGAAAAGGATAAAACAAAAAACAAACAAAAAAACATATCACCTCACAACTTCCCCCGGTAGTTACTTGCGTCAAGTCAGTATTTTCCCCTGAAATGTTATGTTTAAATATGCAGATTAGCTTTAAATCTATAGATGAATTCAGACATGGTAGTTAAACGAACACCATTTATATGTGTTTTTTGGAAGTTTTCTTTCCATTAGAGTGAAAGAAAACATGGAAGCAAAATAGACCAAAATAACTAAATGTACAAGTACATGAAAAAACGATATTTTTTCCTGTAATGTCCTGCCTTAAACAGTAACTTCATAATTTTGATTGTTGGCTGCTCATTTAATAACTATTAATTGTACTAGTTTGTTGTCTGCTCTTGTGCGTATAAGTGAATACTAAAGAAGACCATTGTCTCTGTGTTAGCTGATTATTTTGTAGAATTCTGTTGAGTATTAAACAATTGCGTGACTGTGAGGGTATTAAAATAAATTGGTCAGTAAGTCAGAGATGTGCAACTATATTTAACTTTTGGTTTTAAAACATTTTTTTATCAATTGTTATGGGAAGTGCCCTTTTTCTCACTTAATAATAATAATAATAGCTTGGATTTGTTGTGACTCGACAGTTATGTTAGGTTAAGTTATGTTTTTTACTCTTGTGTTTTGATCTTGTCACTTCCTGTTTTTATTTTGAAAGTAATCCTTCCCTCTCATTCCAGATCCCACATGTGTGTTTCCCGCCCTTTTCACCTGTGCCCATCCTCCTCACCTATAAATAGCCCTTGTGTTTCTTTGTTCCCTTGTCAGTTCGTTATGTTTCATGCCGTGAGAACCTGGGCCTTTTGACTCCTGAAACTTTACTTTGAGAAATATTTCTTGAAGTTTTGTTTTGAAGTACGACTTAGTTTTTGTTATTAAACTACATTCTATTTTTGGACAACTGTCTCCGAGTCCTGCTTTTGGGTCCTGTGTCCTGTGTCTCAGTTCATAACAGGATATATATAGCGCCTTTCATGGGACGCATGGTCGCTTAACAAAGAAGAATAGGGCAGAAACAAACATAACAAAACAAAGATAGATTTAGGGGCCAAAGGCCTTAGTAAACAGATGGGTCTTGAGGGCCCTTTTGAAGGCGTCAAGTGTGGGGACGTTGCGGATCTCCGCAGGGACAGCGTTCCAGAGGGTGGGGGCTGCCACACTGAAGGCTCTGTCCCCGAAGGTTCGCAGTTTGGTGCGGGGGTTGGTAAGCAGGCCAGAGTCTGAAGACCGCAGGTTCCGGGGTGGGGCATGTGGGTGGAGGATGTCCGATAGGTACTGGGGGGCATGGGCATGGAGGGACTTAAGGAGGAGGATTTTGTATGATATGCGGGATTTGACCGGCAACCAGTGGAGGTGGGTGGGAGTGATGTGCTGCCACGGCTTTGTATTTGTGAGTACCCTAGCAGCACAGTTTTGGACATACTGGAGCCTGTCCAGGGTTTTGTTGGGAACCCCAAACAGGACACCATTGCAGTAGTCCAAGCGGGAGGTGACAAACGTATGAACTAGGGTTTCGGCAACCGACTCCGAGAGTGACGGTCGGAGTCTGGCAATGTTCCTTAGGTGGAAAAAGGCCGATTTGGTCACAGACTTGACGTGGGAGTGGAAGGAAAAGGTGGAGTCTAGGATGACACCCAGGTTGCGGGCTTCAGGAGATGGGGAGATGGAGCAGCTGTCGACCTCGAGGATGAAGTCACCAACCTTCTGGAGCAGCGCTTTGGGTGCCACAACCATGAGCTCTGTTTTCTTGCTGTTTAGTTTGAGGTAGTTGGAAGACATCCATGCTTTGATGTCATGCAGGCAGTTGATGAGAGACTGAGGGGGGAGCTGGGAGGATGGAGTGGTGCTGAGATACAGTTGGGTATCATCAGCGTAACAGTGGAAATTGAGTCCATGATGTCGGATGATCTGGCCGAGGGGGAGCATGTAAATGGTGAACAGGAGGGGGCCAAGCACAGAGCCCTGGGGTACACCGTGGTGGACTGGGGCCGGGGGTGAATTTGAGCCATTGATGGAGACAAACTGTTTCCTGTTATGGAGGTAGGATGTGAACCAGGACAGCGCTGTGCCAGTGACACCTAGGAGGTCTGAGAGGCGGGTGAGGAGGATGTTGTGAGAGATGGTGTCAAACGCTGCAGAGAGGTCCAGGAGGATGAGGATGCTGAGGCGGCCAGAGTCAGCAGCAATGAGGAGATCGTTGGTGATCTTGATGAGGGCGCTTCAGTGCTGTGTTGCTGTCTGAAGCCGGATTGGAAGGGCTCATAGAGCTCATGGTTGGACATGTACAGATGGAGTTGGCCGGTGGCCACTCTTTCCAGAGTTTTGCTTAGGAAGGGAAGGTTGGAGATCGGCCGGTGGTTCTGGAGGTCGTCGGGGTCCAGGCCAGGTTTTTTGAGTATGGGGGTGACTGAGGCCATTTTGAAGCTGGTGGGGACTATACCAGGAGCCAGAGAGGCGTTGATGATGACCACCATGTAAGGACAGAGGGTGGGTAGGCAGTCCTTGACCAGGGCTGTGGGCATGGGGTCCAGGGAGCAGGCGGAGGTCTTGGCCGAGCTGACCAGTTTGGCCACTTGGAGAGCATCCACAAGGGAGAAGGAGGAGAGGTTGGAGTGGGAGAGGCGCGGCGCTGGGGGTGCGTTACCAGGTGGCTGAGATGCAGGTAGGGGGGGAGGGCCAGTCGCCAGGAGCTGCTGATGGATGGCCTCGACTTGCGCCTGGAAGAAGTCGAGGAATTTGGAGCACAGATCGGGAGCCCCTGAGGGCTGGGGGGCGTCAGGGGGGCGGAGTAGGCGGTTGATGGTGGAGAACAGTGTTCTGGGGTTGCTTTGCTGGGCACCGATGAGACGGGAGTAGTAGTGAGTCTTGGCGTGGGAGAGAGCTTCCTTATATGTTTTGACATGGTCACGAAAGGCCAGGAGGTGGACCGTGAGGCCAGTTTTTTTGGAGAGCCTCTCCAGCTGGCGACCAGAGGCCTTCAAGTGGTGGAGTTCGGTGGTGAACCAGGGGGCAGGGCGGGTGAAGGAAACAGTCCGGGTTTTATTGGGGGAGAGAGAGTTGAGACTGAGGGATAGGGCAGTGTTGTAGTGGGCTACCAGGCCGTCCACGGTGGAGTCGGAAGGACGCGAGGCCATGTGGGTAGCTATCAGGTCGGATAGGGCCGGTGCACTCACAGTATTGATGTTCCTAAACATAATGGTGCGTTTAGGATGCTGCCTGGGCAGGGAGACCGGAACAGTGAAGAGGATGGCGTGATGGTCAGATACAGCCAGGTCGAGGCGCTGTAGGTCGGGGGGCGGAGAGCCGGTAGAGCACACCAGGTCCAGCGTGTGGCCTTTGATGTGGGTGGGGCCCTGGACATGTTGCTTGATGCTGAAGCAGTCCAGAAGTGAGAGGAATTCAGCAGCGAATGTGCAGTTACTGGAGTCCACGTGAATGTTAAAATCACCGAGCAGGAGAGTTGATGGAGACATAGAGCAGAGAGAGGTGAGTAACTCAGACAGCTCAGACAGGAAGGTAGTGGAAGCTTTGGGTGGGCGGTAAATGAGGGCAACCTGGAGCGGAGCAGACCCAGCCAGTTTGAAGACAACACACTCAAATGAGGTGGTAGTAGGTACTGGGAGTTCTTTAACCAGGATGCCAGCTCGGTGGATAACAGCCAATCCACCGCCACGACCCAGGGAGCGGGGCTTCTGGATGTACAGATAGCCTGGGGGTGTAGCTTGATTGAGTGTCACAAAGTCCTGCTGATTTTGCCATGTCTCTGTTAAGCATAGGATGTCAATGCTTCTGTCAGTTATAATGTCGTGGATGAGTAGTGCTTTGTTGTTGAGGGAGCGGGTATTCAGCAGCATAAATGTCACATAGTTGTTCATAGATGCTGGGGGGAACAAGGAGGTAGAAACCAGCACACTGTCAGCACAGGCCAGGGACCTCAGGTAGATAGAGCGAACGGGAGGTTTGGTCGGATGACGTCGTTTGTTGTGATGACGACATCGCCGTGCGACAGACCGTCTGTCAGAAACAACTGCGGGGATAGGAGTTTCGGAGTAGAAAAACTTGCATCTGGATGCCCGGTGTATGTAGCGGGGACGACGCAGAAGCCCAAGGGATTTGATAACTGCAAGGCAGTCGGGGATAGTGTGGCAGAAAAAGTTACGAAGTTCCAGCGGGGAGTATTGGAGGAGCATCATGAGAATAGAGATGGGCGAGTCCTGATTCATCCGGATCATTAACCCGGATCCTAGAAATGAGCTGGTCGTGACGAGTCTCCCCTCTCCATTAACCCGAGTCCTTGAGTCCCACACTTGGTGTGACGTACAAATTAAAACTATAAATTGCGTCACTTGCTACTCTCTTTATAACATGTAAAATCACATTACAACGTACCCCAGTCCATCTGCCTACCCTTTAGCAAGTATACAGGATAGCTGCCTGCCAGAAGTTATCGTTTGGCTCAGGGGAGGGGACGCGGATCAGTGAAACTTCCTGCAGACTCGTGGGGACTCAGAGGAGCCGACGGCTCCTAACCGTAATAGCATAACAGATCCAGCGATCCATACTCGCCATGTGCACGAGCATAGCCCCTCCTCCAGCACCCGGCTCCCGCGCTATATTATGCACGAGTCAACAGTAGACTCGCAGATTCGCAGATTCGCAAATCCTGACTCGCTGCAACACACAGCAGAGCAGACTCGTGCGGACTCGGAGCCGTAACCATATAGCAGCAGATCCAGAGATCCAGCAGACTCGTCGTCATGCACGAGTCAACAGCAGACTCAGATTCGCAAATCCTGACTCACTGTGCAACACACAGCAGAGCAGACTCGTGCGGACTCGGAGCCGTATATAGCAGCAGATCCAGCAGACTCGTCCTCATGCACGAGTCAACAGCAGACTCAGATTTGCCAAATCGCAAAATAACCCTTTTTTTTGTGATCAACAGTTTTTATTAAAGCAAAATACACTGTGTAGCGGAGGTTAATATAACGTCAGTTTAATAGATAGATAGATAGATAGATAGTACTTTATTGATCCCAAATTGGGAAATTGTTGTTGTTACAGCAGCATAAAAGGCATTTTACAATAAAACAAAACTACAAAATATACAAGAATAGAAATAAAAATAAAATAAAATATAAAATATACATGTCGAAATAGAAAATATACATGCAGATATTATATATATATATATATACAAATATATATATATATTCAAAATATATGGAATAATAATATGCTCGTGAAATGCAACAACTTTTCGGTTTCACCGATAGGATTTCTACGGTCTTGGTGATGCTGACTCATATGACTCAAATGACTCGTATGATCCGGATCTCTTCAATGACTGACTCAGAAGACCCTGAGTCCGTAAAAGGATCCGGATTTGCCATCTCTACATGAGAAGAGCGGCGAGCCAGCTAGCAGCTAGCACCATTAGCCCTGCAGAAACCGGACCTCGAACCTCAGCAGCGGTGATGGAAAACAGCCCAGTTGGGATGGCAGGACTGAGGGAGGGTTCATGGATAGTCCTGGGAGTGTGGCAGAGAGGAGCCCAGTCGGAGAATTCCGGAACGGGGACTACGCGGATAGCAGAGCACGACGGTGAGCTTGTTTTGCTAATGGCAGGACGGCAGAGGCTAGGAGCTAAACAGCAGCCAAACATAATCGGCTGAGCAACGGAGAAGGCAGACACACAAAACCAGAGAGGAGAACAATCTTTTCGCTGTGTATGGGAATTAAATAGATTGACGGCAGGGAGTGGTAGACACGAGAAGTAAGCGTCGGCATGAAGAGCGGCGAAAAACACGCCAGCGTCGGTACAGACAGTCACTTGAGATCCCGCCCCCCAGAATGTATGTGCACTAGTGATGTGTCGGTCGCGAACGAGCCGATTCTTTTGAACGGCTCTTTGGTACGAACGAGGGGAACCGAGTCCTACTTGGTGAGAGCCGTTCTTGTTATCGTTCAATCGTTGGTCCGCACGGTCCGCACTCACTGCCTGCCAAAATCCACTCGCCTTTTAAAAAGCTTGATTTTGTTCCCCAAACGTATTCTGTGAAGACCCGCCACTACTCTGATTGGTAGGTTTCAGCACGAGGAGTGAGATGGGGTGGGTCTTAACGGAATACGCGCGAGAGAGAAGTCATAACAAGTGGTACAGGACAGGTAGACGACGTGTTTTTCGGATGGAAAATGAGCCAAACGCGAAAACGCAGCAGCATTTGGATGCACTTCAACCAAAACCCAGGCAGTGATAAAGCGCACCATTTGTAAAGGCAAAATATCCTTTAAAGCAGGGTCAACAAATAATCTCCATCGCCACTTAAAAACACAGTATCTAATATTAAGAGTTGCATGAATTTCATTCAAGGCAAGGCAACTTTATTTACTTAACACATACAGAGGGTAAATTCAAAGTACATTCACTGACATGAATAACATGGATATGGCGCCACCTTGTGTCATGTTTACAATGCCGATTATTGACATTAGGTCTGGCAATCATTATCCTGGTGATTATTTTGCAGATAAACCTAGTAACCTTAAAAAAACGGCTCTTTTGAACGGCTCTTTTGAACGGCTCTTTGAAAGGAACGGAGCCATAAGATCCGGCTCCCTTCAAAGAGCCATAATTCCCATCACTAATGGCGCATTTCCACTACACGGTCGGCCTCGGCCACACTCGGTACGGCTCGGTACGGCTTGGCCGCGTTGGGCCTTAACAGGGCCGACTCACTTCATGCTGCGCTTCCATTACAGTTTAGGAACTGGGGTAGTTACTATAGTAACGCAGTGTAGGCGGAGCCGTGACGTCATCTTCAATGAGAAATCCAGAAACACAACACAGCCGTTAGCTGTTAGCACTCAGAGCTCACAGCTCCTTATATATGTTCAGAAACTCGACAAAAGTTAAACAAGTACACACCACAGACTGCCTGTGTCATGGTGAATACAGTCGCTGCTTTATTTATGTCTGTATAGGCCGTTGTTGTGAGTGTGGACGGTCGGGGCATATACTGCGTTAGCTTAGCCAATCTCCATCTAGAAAAACACGAATTTTAAAAGGTTTTTCGCCTGCCGTCTGTCTGCAGACTTGACAAAGCATTAATTCATGGTTTTTACTAACCGGTATCAGTATGTTGTTACTTCGGCATCATTTTGAAACGTGTATTACAATTAAATCACGGTCAAATATGTCCATCTTGTTGTAGTTCTAGCCCTCTTGCCAGCGCTCCTCTCTCTAGTTTAGCATACTCAGCCCGACTCAGCCCTGTTTGTTGGCCCCGATAGAACCACAATTTTCTAGGGCCAGAAAAGAGGTGAAAAAGTGGCCCCGCGCCGTGCCGCGCCGGTAATTGGCCTAGTGGAAGCACAACCAAAAAAGGGGACGGCACGACACGGCACGCTTAAAGCGAGCTCCGCGCTGCAGTGGAACTGCGCCATAATGTGCACGTCCCTGCTTTACAGTTTTACCACACTCATATTACCACTGTACCCGGGGCTATGGAGGAGGGAACATGACATAATACATATTAGCCTATGTATAAATAAATGAATAAATACGGCAATAAATAAATAAATGAGCAATTACAGGAATAAATGAATAAATAAATGTAGAAAAAAATTAATGTGGAAATAAATACATGAATAAATAAATAAAATATTGCATAAATAAATATGGAAAAAAATGTATGAATGTATAAATAAATACAAGTTGAGAATGAAACAGAACACACATTATTATAAATCTTTAAAGCTCCCATGTCATGCTTTTCCGGTTATTACCCGTCCCCTTGTGTGTTATGAAGGTTTTTATGCATGTAAACGGTGTGCAGAGTCAAAACCCTCAAAGTACACCCTGTAGCGAGTAAAACTCTAACACAGAAAATACCTCCCCAAAACGCCTCGTTGGAGATACGTCACTGCCCATTTGAGTCTTCCATTTAGTTCCGGGTACCGCCTGATGTCATGCGGTACCCGGAACGAAATGGACCAATCCCGAAGAGCTATGGCCACACCAGCAGCGGCGTGTTCCTCCTCCAGAGGTTCGAAGAACCGGCATTTCACAGACGAAAGCTTCCAAAAACATTGCCCAGTTTGAGGCCGGATATGCACAGCTTGTTTGGACCGTTTGGAGCAGGGGAAGATCTGGGTATACAACCTGTAAGTTTGCATTGTTATTTGTGTATTTATCAAACAAGACTGTTTAAATGTGTAAACTGTGTTGGACTGCTAAGCCATTGACACAGTGCTAACTGTGCTAACTAAGTTGCTAGAGTTTCCATATATCAACTCTAATATCAGCAGATGGCCTTGCATACATGTATCTCATAGCAGGAGAATGTCTGCATTCACACACAAAATACCTATTGACAGTATACTGCGGGTGATTTGCCGGTCAGTCGCGAAACGTAATTACATTATAGCTGGCGTAGCGATCTAACACACGGAGCTTGAGCTAGTTTTGGTCAGAAAAAACATTTTTGTGATGCTACGTTGCTAGCGTTTAAATATATCAACTACAATGTCAGCAGATGGCCTTACATGTTTGTCATGGCAGGAGAATGTCTGCAGTCACACACACGGAATACTCATACAGTATACTCCGGTTTACCGTACATTGTGACCGTACATATACTGCATGTAGCTAACGAGGCTAGCTGTATGCTAGCGCAAAACAATGTATTCATGCAAGTTACATTGTATGGTAGCAGAATACCCGTATACGATTGCAATTATAAACACGTTATTGCTAGCCTAATATGAACCACTAGCTTTTGTTCATAGTAGTTTTATTACACTGCATTATAGTTGCCTTTCCTCCAAGCTAACGTTCATATCGTGTTAGCTACCAAGGTAAACAAAGCTAGGTTAGCATATTAGCAGGCAAGCTGTTCATTACACAACTACTACTAACGAATCTAAAACAACTAAGTTTCTCTAATATTTTGTGATTTGCATTTGATTTCGTCCAGCCAGATCCTGGCGGACAATCCATGACGGGGAAGGGATTCTACTACTACTGAGGCCTCGTGCTAAAAGGCACCGCACCGCACCGGCTGTGCGCAGGCAAGAGGAGGAGGAATGGATGATATACCGTGTATATATGTATATTTATGTTCATTTTGTACATTTCTAAAAATAAAGTTTAATGGAAATACTTAGTAGGCCTATCCTTTCTTCCCTGAATTCATATATAGCAAACCATGATTTGATTTCTCATCAAACAGTAGTAGTTTATAACGGGTAAAAATAACTTACTCTTTGTTATGAGAGTAGCTCGTAGGCCACAACGGAAAGACAAGGAGACATACACGAGTTTACAAAACCACGGCACATTTATTGTGGTAAATGCAAAGATAGGTGGTTGAGAGGATCGCAGAGTTAGTCTTCCTGCAGCCGCTTTGGAGAGAGACTGGGGCCGTAGTGTCCGGAGGTGTCCGTGATCGTGCTGATTAGCTTCTTCAGCTCCACCCCATCGTAAGACAAAGGCCCTGGGGCCGTCACACTCTTCTATAACAACAGTTAAAATATATATGTATATAAAATATACCGCTGTACCGACGCCATGATAAGACTGATGTTACGCTGAGAGCAGCCGGGAAAAGCACTGACATGGGCGCAGCCTCTCTGGTGGTTGACTAATCAGAACAAGTGGCCGAGCTGACCAATCGGAGCACACTAGGCTCACAGGGAGGGGGGGGCAAGAGCTCCAACGAGTCGTTTAGTGGAGAAAGTGAATACTGCTGAATACACATGCTTGACAGAGATGCTGTATGCGAAACCAATGTGAGTTTGGAAAATTGCACAGTATAAATCTATTTTAGTATACCTCAACAATGTAATTATGATCAGTGGAAATGGCCATGACATGGGCCCTTTAATATATTTCTACATTTACGTTCACTTACATTCATGTATTTCTGTCTCCGTATGCTAATGAGGGCGGTCCTAACCTCAGTCTGAAGCATGTTCAAAGAAAAAAAAATCACTTCACACATCTCCTAACACTTCCCCTGGTGGTTTTACTACCCTAATAACATCTGTTTAAGGTATAAAGGTTTTTGCATCAAGGATTTTTTTTTTAATTCTATTTAATTCTATTTTCATTACTTTATTTGTTTAGTATTAGTCAAACATTTTTTTTCCATATTAAATATCTTTTAATCTTTTTTTTCAAGTTAGTTTTTATGATTGTATTATCTATTATATTATTATTTTATTATAATTTTATTGTATTTGATTATTTTAATTATTATAATTACAATTACATTTTGTTCACGTCCCCCGGAGGTGTTGGGGGCATCTCCCTCTGTTATTAGTTTTGAATTATTTTATTATTATTGTTTTTATTATTATTTATTTAAGTATTATTATTATTTTACCAATATTAATCATGTATGGGCGTCCCCCATAGGCTGGTTTAATTATTTATCTTTGTATACAAGACATTTCTCCAACCCACATTCCCACCAAAATGACAGTGTTGATGGATGGGTACAAATTTGAAATATATTGCCATACTCTGGATTTGAACCCTCATACCCAAAGTGACGTTGGTTGCGGTCTGCCTGCCGTAACCACTGAGCCGTACAATTGTATGCTCATTAGATCTGTATTACTGAATATTTCAGAGGTGGTGGGGCGTCCTTCGGAGGTTTATTATTACTACCATTATTTTACCCAGGCAGACCACACCTACGTATTTTATTGATTTTTTTCAATATTATAATTTAAATATAGTATTATTATTTTAGTATTTTTTTCCTTATTATATTACTTTTTAAGTATTTATTAAATTATTATTCTTTGTTATTTATTTAATTTTTTATCATACTTTATTGTATGTCTTTTTTATGTTTGTACCATGATTTTTTTTATTTAATGTTTTTATTTAATATTATTTATTACATTTTAATTTATTTATTACATTTGTTTTAAGCATATTTTTATTGTTACCCATTTTTATTTACAATGTAATATTTATTATTTATTAATAATTGTTTTACTGTCACCAATAAACCAATGTTTGCGCCCCCGGAGGTGTAGGGGGGGGCGTCTACCTAAGGCTGGCCTCCAGTAAAGCTACTCTCTACTCGTGTTGAGCACCCTTGACCGCCCTTGACCATTTCACCCACACACGCATGCCATCTTGCCTCCCACCACACTTCACTTTGCCATGCGAGGAGGCGAACCACCAGCATGTTAGGCATCCATTTACCCCTTCAGCCAAAGACACCAGTACATATTCCTGTCAACATTTTCCAGATTGGCTTCTACTTGTATTAGGGTTACAAGGCGAGACAAAGATATTGTTAATTAACTTTTGTTTGAACTCATCGCCAGAAGTAACCATTCATTTTTCACATCTGTTCCAGAAAAACACAAGGCTATACCAGGAAGTGTGGAGCCGTGTTTCCTGAATAAGTAATTTAGAAAGAACTGGACTTAAGCCTCAGTTTCTTTCTAACTTTACAGAATTTCAGTTTTTATTTTTTATTTATTTCACTTCAATTACCACAGCATCTTTATTTCCATAAGATATGCAATGGAGTTTACCAGTTCCTCCCCGGCAGCTGAGTGAGGTAAAATAGCAAAACAATAGAGCATGTTGAACCACTGACCCTCAGGTTGGATGACATCCATGCATTTACCCCCTTGAGTCCCGGTCACACACACATATTGCATTAACCTTAAATTAAAACATTATCTTAAATTAAAAGCTTTTACCTTCAAACGTTATAATCTGTTCAATGGTATTTTACCTTTTAAGTACATGTCCGATACAATGCTAAAACATTTTCTTTCATGACATTTTAACTATTGTACACTTTGACATGAGGAGGAGGAGAAGACTTGTCAGAGGAGATATTGTAAAAACATTTGTTGAAACTCATCACAGGAAGTGACAGTCCAATTTCTTACATCTGTTCAGAAAACACAAGGCTACCGGCATCTGGAGTCAGGTTTCTTTAATACGTCCTTTAGAAACAATGGAATTAAGCCTCGGTACCTTTTCAACTTGACCAAACTTCAGGTTTTTTCCATTTAAAAAAAACCTCCATTCAAACAACAAAACAGTTATCTCAAAGGGAACATTTAATACAAAGTATTAAATATCTTTCATTTAAAACCTTTTGTTGATTGGGTTAAAGAGATGTCGCTTCTGCAAAGTGAATTAATGGAGTTTGTGAACATTTTCCCACAGCAGTTTTAGCTCGATGGTTTCTCCTGTGTATATTGATCCTCAGGTGTGAGTAGAGTGTGGACTTTTTTATTGTGTCTTAATAAACCACTGCTGTGTCTGAAAGCACTCCCACATGTTGTGCAAATACACGACTTCTCATCCGTGTGGATTCTTAAATGCTTTTTCAGCGTTGAACTGTCACTAAATCTATTTCCGCAAGTATTGCAAAGGTACGGCTTCTCACCTGAGTGGACTCTCAGGTGGAGGGTTAAGTTATATTGACGTATGAAGTCTTTCCCACATATTTTGCAAGAATATGGCTTCTCACCTGAGTGGACTCTCAGGTGGAGGGTTAAGTGACCATTACGTCTGAAGTCTTTCCCACATATTTCGCAAGAATAGGGCTTCTCACCTGTGTGGATTCTCATGTGACTCTGCAATTTAGACTTGCACTTAAAACCTTTGTCACATATCTCACATTTTAATTTATGAAATGTTGACTTAGTAGTGCTGTTAACATTGTAGCTTGGACTTTGAATAATGTTATCTCTCTGGTTTACTTCTGGCTCTGCGTGAGTTGATCCTGAGTCTCCATGCTTGCTAACTTTCTGATCTTGGCTCTCAGCTAGTGGAGAGTTGTGAGAGAGGAGCTGGTGGTCCCTGTTTGTGTATACAATCCCTTCTTCTGATGCTTCATAGCATTGAAGTGGAAACTGCCCAGGAGGATTTTCCTCGCCTTGACTCTGAGTGTCACTGATGCTCAGGTTCAGAGTCTGATCTTCACTGTGATCACTTTCCATATAAGTCGGAGTCAACATAAAGTCATCAGTCTCCTGCTTCAGTACAAGCTGCTCCTCACTGCTGCACAGCTCCTCTTTAATCTGTGGAGGCTCTGGGTCCTCTTGGTTCACACTGTAGTTTTTCTCCTGAATGCAGAGCTGCTGCTCAGAGAGAACCTCCTCCTCCTTACAGACATGTTGCTGAGGGAGCTCTGGAAGGAGAGAGACAAGAGTAAATACGACACTACTGTAAACATTAGGAAACAAATGGGACCCACTAAGTTCTGGTATATATTTGAACAGTAATGTTATTAAGCGACAACATCAGTGTCGTGATATTTAGGGGGGGGGGGGGGGGGGAATACGCGTACTCACCTATCCTGTGTGACTTTATTGTGGGTAAGATGTTCAACAGTCTGCGCTGACGATCAATCTCTTCCTCGTACTCAACGATAGTTCTTTCAAAAACTCCTAATATTTCTTCAGCAGCAGCAGTCAGTCTCTTGTTGACAAATTCTCTCAAGCAATGAACTTTAGACATTATTAGGGTTTAGCTGCAACCTAAACAATGTCAGTAGTACGACTACAACATGTCCGTTTGAGCTAATTCAAACTTCGACGTATTTAAAGAGCTTGCGCTGTTTACTTCCGGTGTGTGTCCCATTGTGGAGATCCGACGGGAAGCGGTGCGGTAGCTTTTCTTTCCGCTTTAACTGATGGCATTTGATTAAAAACGTCTGTGTTTATGAAACACGTAACTTAACAAATATATTGACATAGTTTCCAAGACGCCACTCATATTTTTAACTTCAGCAGCTAGGATGTACATCTGCTTCGCTTCACTTCACACGGACCTATTTTACTATTAAATATCTCATATGATACTATTTGTAGTCATATATTATAGGTATAGTATAGTATAGCCGTGATTAAATGCCATATTATGTTCCAAACCACATCAAGGATTAGTGATGGGCAAATTAAGCTTTTGTGAAGCACTGAACCACTTGAGACAATTGTTTCAAAAATGGGTTCATTCCCCAAAGCTTCAGTTACAGCGTCCTCTCCTGGCGAAGTGCAAAGAATGCTGGAAAATATGGCATAGGTTGAGTGTGCTTGTGTTATTATGGCAGGGGGTGATTATGTGGGATGGGGAACACACGAAGATTTGTATTGAGGTACATTATTCTATTCTGCATGAGTTGATCCTGAGTCTCCATGTTTGCCAACTTTCTGATCTTGCCTCTCAGCTACTTGAGAGTTGTGAGAGAGGAGCTGTGGTCACTGTTTGTGCATCTCAATAGATTAGAATATATTGGAAAAGTTGATTAATTTCAGTAATTCTATTTTCATATATTATATAGATTTAGTGAAGCGAATTATTTCAATTGTTAGCTTACAGCTAATGAAAACTCAAAATTCAGTATTTCAGAAAATTAGAATATTGAAAAAAGTTAAATATTGTAGACTCACAGTGTCACACTCTAATCAGCTGAGTGGCGAAGTCACGCCCATCTACTTCCGGTCCATGGGACCTTATTTCGGAAAAATAATGTATTGAAGTCAATGGAGAGAGAAAACTTATCTTTCGATCCCGTTTGAATTGTGCCATGAATTACACATATGATGTTTGTCAATCTTAAAAAATAATTTCCATGTCAAAAAAGTCACAGTTTGTCGTAAAACTGTTGAAATATAAGACTATGAAAAATACGCAACTAGAAAGACTACAAATCCCAGAGTCGCGTAAGTGATGTCACAATTGTTTTCCTCCACTAAGAGATAGCTAAGATCAGCGCCATATAGATAGAATCTATCTATATGGCGCTGGCTAAGATAAGATAACTTTAACAAGATGCCTATGTGCTTAGTACCAGGTTGTTATCATACTAGCAATGGGTCTTGCTCGTTCTTTTGCTTCCCGTCTGATGAAAGGACCAGGAGTGGCTTGATCAAGTTAGCTACCTAGCTAGTAGCTAGCACATTAGTTAGCATTACAGCCTTGTCATTTTTATTAGCCTTAACATGAAGTAACATTAAGTAACCCAAAATGTTAAACAGTAAGAGTAGTAGTCATATTTCGTGAACCCTTTGAAGAGTACTGTCACCGGTGTGATCATTCTATACACAATTTAAGCCCGTGGGAAAAATGCTAACGCTAACGCTAGCATCGGCGATCGGCGATCTTTTCTACTTCATGCTATCTGCACAAATGGTTGAAATTAAAAAGACCAGGCAGTTCAGAGAGAATCAAAGGAAGGCAGGCAGGCAGCTTTGCATGACATTCTTCTGGACGTGTTTCATTGTGGTGATAGTGAGGGTAGTCAATCGTTTTGTTGACAAGACAGTAGTGACGGCCATCTTGGTGACGTGTGTTGTTGACCAGAGATGTAGTTCATTGAGCGTTTCACACAAACAAATGTGTTACTTCACAGTTTTACGCCACATTTTATTTTTTTTGACTTGCAAAATTATCTTTTAAATTGACAAACATCATATGTGTAATTCGTGGCACAATTCAAACGGGATCGAAAGATAATCTTTCTCTCTCCATTGACTTCAATACATCATTTTTCCGAAATAAGGTCCCATGGAGGTCCACCGGAAGGGGAGGGACTTCGCCACTCTATTAACTATAAAAAAAAAAAAACTCCAAAGGCAGTGGCGGAGCTGGGGGGTGGCTGGGGGTGCCCGTGGCCACCCCCAGCTGAATCCTGGCCACCCTATTGGCCAACCCAAACACCCTCACCACGGGGGCCCAAACAATTTTAGAACATTAAGAAAAAAAAATTTAAGTAACCTTTCATCATTCATCAATAATTAACATTAATATAACGTTATATTGATAATGTAGGCTACTCACTAAACTTACAATTCATTTAACTTATTTTCTTCCAAAAGTTAATTATCCAAAGCCTCTGTACACCCCCTTCTATTTACATGTAATGGTTTGGTCCCGCCTCCGCCTCCAAACGGCACTTTCTAGCAGAGAGTGAGAGCATGTGAGTAGGGATGCTAGTACTTACATGTGTGCCATGCATAGACTGTATATATAAAGGGTGCCATGTCTCAACGACTCACAAAGTCAGGCTTTCAAAAAGAAAAGAAAGGAGAGAAAGACAAGAGAGAGGGACTAAAGGGCGACAGTATGTCACCCAGTTTTTCAAAGAAAAGGTGGGTGTGGTCCATGAGTGGTGGAAATTAGTCTGTTAGCTAAGCGTAGTCCATTGTAAATAATAATTTTTATGTTGTTTTTTTTACTAAGCTGACATTAAGTACTGTTAATATCTATAAAGAAAATGCAGAGGTTTTTAATTTCACTGCTCTTTTAGCTGACATTTAACAAATGCAGGTAGATTTTTAGCAGCTATTCATACTAAATCAGTTGTCCCTCTCCCCCTGGTGCCAGGACCAACAGATCCATCTCTAGCAGCCCTGTCCCCCCATAATGCTGAACCTGAACCAGCTTGTCTCCCAACTGAAGGAGGTGAGCAGCATTGTGTTGAATTACATGCCACTTAACATATCTGAAGGGAGACTGGAATACAATATATATATATATATATATCAAAACAAAAAGCTAACATCTCATTTCAATTATACATTTCAAATACAGTATTTTCCATATTTATTTGGATTTATGCATTCATGTTGAGAATGTTCCATTCAAAAACGTTATTATTAAAAAGGCGTTTACACCATAAAAGATGACTATTGAGATCTATTGTCAGGAATGTTAGTCTTATATGTATGGCCAGAGGGCAGGACCTATAAACACATTTACTACCCAATAGCATTGTGAGGCTGAACAAGGAGGACCTTTTTTTTTGACTATGTAAATGTAGTCTTTTAAAAAACAAAAACATTTACTGACTTTTTTGGATACCTTAAAGTAATGTTGTAAAATTACAACCGGGGGCCTTACAGGGTTAAGGGCTATTGTTTATTGTTAACCAATAATTTAATTTAAAAACTCTTATTTAAATGATGTGTCTCTGTATTCCTGATGATACACTGAGAGAATGAGCTCATAGGGCTGCTGATCACCATAAGCTAAACAGTCTGTATATTGCATTACATTTGTATAATGTAAGCTTCGTTGTTACTTTGCCTGCGGGAATAAGAAAAAAATAGTTAGATATACTGAATATTATTTGATCTATTCCACCGCTAGCTTAATCCCAAATAATGTAGAGGTGTGTTGTAGGTGCATTAAATAACACCTTATTTTATAGTGAGATGTATTTTTATGTTCATATAATAGTGATTTCAATGCCACCCCAAATGATCACTGGTTCCATCCTGGCCACCCCACTGAAAATGTCCTGGCTCCGCTACTGTCCAAAGGTATCCTGAGCCTTCAAATGTTCTCTCAATCTGGTTCAGTAGGCAACACAATCATGGGGAAGATTGCTGACCTGACAGTTGCGTGCGTCTCCATTGAAATGAATGGAAAGGCGCGCGCAAAAACGCTTGTACGGCGAAAAGAAAGAGAAGGGTCTAGCTGCGGCCGCGGCCAGTACACTACACGACACGACACGCCCACCTGACACGACACTACGGTGGCTGAGAGACATTACCGTACATGGCAGATTAAAAGCGAATTGACGACACTGACGCTGACTGACGCAAGGATATTTAAGGAGACATGAGGTTTACAGAGAACAGACAAACAATATGGCGCACCGAGTACAGGTAATTAACGTATTGTGGTTTTAGATATAATTACATACTATTTATTTAGGTTCTCGTTTGTTTGTCGATGTGGCTGTTTAGCGCAGTGTAATTGTGTTTATTTTGCTAATTTGTATTTTAAATATTAAATGTAAAGGAATGGAATGAATATATATATATATATATATCTTAGCTCTTAGCTTGACATGCTGTTACGATATCCGATAGGACCCAAACGCAGGACACGGCAGAGTGTTGGAAAAAGGTTTATTGTGAGGTGGAGGAGCGTGGAGAGTAATCCGGTTGGAATGATGACTGGTGGCGGCAGGTGATGGTAACAAGGCGGCTGGATAGTGATCCTGGAGCATAAGAGAAACAGATGAGAAAAGTATTCCGTGTACAGAGAAATAGTTTTAAATCGGCTAAGAAGGCTGAGAGTTACCACTGGGGTTAAAACAACGATCTGGCGCTGACATGTTGTGGAGCCTCCGCTGATATACCATTAGTAAATGGCTGAATGGGAATCAGGTGTGTAAAGCTGATTGCACCAGGTGGAGATTTGCAGCAGGTGGAGATTGAGCCGGGAGCCAGGAGTGACAGCCACCACGCCCACACAGACAGGGAAAGGGAACACACACTCACAAGGGAGGTGGAGGTGGCTGAAGAGTAGAGCCACCACAGTACCCCCCTCTTAAGGGACGCCTCCAGGCGGTCTACCAGGTCTACCAGGTCTACCAGGGTTATCCCGGTGGAAGTCCCGAACCAGGGACGCGCCCACGATGTTTCGCCGGGGAACCCAAGACCTCTCCTCTGGACCATAGCCCTCCCAATCCACAAAATATTGGAATCCCCTTCCACGGCGACGAACGTCCAACAATCGCCTGACGGTGTAGGTTGGGTGATCATTGATGATGCGGGGGGGTGGGGGAACACTCACTGGAGGAGACAAGGGGCTGCTGGCAACAGGTTTTA